CGGAACAGATATTGCCTTTTTTTTAAAACTGTTTTTCTTTTCCATATAATTAAATAAATGAATTTATTCAAGATAAAAGTCTTAATTTACCCTTTATCTATCATATTGCAGGTCGTCTTTTTAGTCTTATTTATATAGCTCTTTATTCCCACTTGGCCGGCAAATAATTTAAACATTTTTATTCAATTTTTATTTTTCTCTTTGGATTTATTTAAAGAAGAACAAAAATTTGAATCTAAAATATTGTTGAAAGGCAACCAATGCATCTTTTATGAATTCATGTGAAATTCACAAAACAAGATGTGGAACTAAACCTCAATAGTTTCTTTACAATAGGGGACTTTTTACCAGAGGGGGGGAGATAATATCTTTACATACAGATTGAAAAGGGGGCAGATATAGTTTCAGAGAGGAGTTTCTGACAGGACCATAACATTATGAAAGATATACAACCAACTCGAAAACATGGGTTTCTTGTCCTCAAAGAAATATTGAAACATGACCACATCTTACTATTTATTGTTTAGATTTCAAAATATCAGGGATTTTTTATATAAGGATGATAGTTTAGATTAACGACTGTACAGATTTTATTTGATCTTATTTTTTTAAATAGATGAGTCGTCGCAATTACATTTTAAACAATTGATAAATAAAATCGGATTTAACGATTTAACCTTGCTAAAATGATTAAATATAATTAATAAATCTCTTTGTTTGGGGTTAAACTGTATGTTAATTAAAGATAAAAACTAAAAGTTGTCTAATCTCTAATGTCATAGACCAGAGATACTCCAAACAAAGAGAAGTATTAATTATATTTAAACATTTTAGCAAGGTTAAATCGTTAAATCCGATTTTTTTCAAATTTCAACCAACATAGTATTGGCTGAAATTTCTGATTCTACTTGCGTGAAATTATTTTCCTTGTAAGTTAGTTGTTTTATCTAAATTAAAAATTAAATCTTCAAAATCTCATAGATGTAATTATTGCAAAATTTCGCAAAATTACTTTATAGAAATTACCCAAAATTATTAAGTAATTTCGCGAAATTGAAGTTTCGCTAATTATTCGCGAAATTACCTCATAGATAGTACGCGAAATTACACCGTAATTACGCGTAATTATAGTTTCGCCTATAACGGGTAATCATTACGAAATTTCGCAAAATTACGTTGTAGAAATTACGCGAAATTATGCCGTAATAACGCGTAATTATAGTTTCGCTTATTACGCGTAATCATTACTTAATTTCGCGAAATTACGTTGTAGAAATTACGCGAAATTACGCCGTAATTTCGCGAAATGGATATTTCCCCAATTACGCGTAATCCTGCGAAATTACACGAAATGAAAATTATTACGCGTAACTGCACGTAATTACGCGTAAGAGAATAATCTATTACGTTGGAAACCCTGCGCAAAATTTACCTTATCAATTTCGCTTATTCTAACATTGTTCAAATTATGGAGGCCTTGTAATATATTAATATTGTTAACATCAAAATATTTGCTTATTAGCTAACATTTTATTTTAATCATTGATATCGGACATAAGACAATATTTGTGCTTTGGGTGAAATTTCATTTAAATAATTTTCTAAAAGGCAATTGTGTGTTTAGTTCACTTACTTAATGTAATGCATCTGGTGTGCTTGTCTAATGTAAACTGGTGTGTTTAGTTTGGCATGGTTAAACTGGTGTGTTTAGTTTGGTATGTTTAGACTGGTGTGTTTAGTTTGGTATGTTTAAACTGGTGTGTTTAGTTTGATATGTTTAAACTGGTGTGATAAGTTTGGTATATTTAAACTGGTGCGTTTAGTTTGGTATGTTTAGACTGGTGTGTTTAGTCTGGTATGTTTAAACTACTGTGTTTAGTTTGGTGTGTAAACTGGTGTGTTTAGTTTGGCGTGTAAACTGGCGTGTTTAGTTTGGTGTGTAAACTGACGTGTTATAGTTTGGTGTTTAAACTGGCGTGTTTAGTTTGGCGTGTGTTTAGTCTGGTATGTTTAAACTACTGTGTTTAGTTTGGTGTGTAAACTGGCGTGTTTAGTTTGGTGTGTAAACTGGCGTGTTATAGTTTGGTGTGTAAACTGGCGTGTTTAGTTTGGTATGTTTAAACTGGTGTGTTTAGTTTGGCGTGTTTAGTTTGGTGTGTAAACTGGCGTGTTTAGTTTGGTGTGTAAACTGGCGTGTTTAGCGTGTTAAGTTTGGTATGTTCAAACTGGTGTGTTTAGTTTGGTATGTAAACTGGCGTGTATAGTTTGGTGTGTAAACTGGCGTGTTTAGTTCGGTGTGTAAACTGGCGTGTTTAGTTTGTTATGTTTAAACTGGTGTGTTTAGTTTGGCGTGTTTAGTTTGGTGTGTAAACTGGCGTGTTTATAGTTAGTCCAATATTTTGGTAGTTAATTAAACTCTGAGTTTCCAACTATACTTAGAACTCAAACTTCTGGCTCAACCAGTTACAATTATTACGTATTTACTTGTATGACATTAATTTAAAAAATATATTCTTTATTTTCAGTCTAATTATATAATCATCCGATAAAGATGCAGTATTCTAGGGTTTATGTATGCAGACAAAGACCACACACAAATATTATCAAAACATAAGAATATATACATAAAAGATATATTGTCTGGAAATAATTGCAAAAATATAAAAAATATAAAACATTATGATTTATCATTTGAGAAAAATCTCGAGAACGGTGGATCAAAGACAAAGGAACATCATAGAAAATGAGAAACTGGAGATATCTTCAAATTGAATTTCTAGAACTCTTAAAAATAAAACAAAACAAAATTACTTGATGTGAATTTAAATCATTAAAAAGATTAATTTCATTGACCTTTAGTCTTGATTCTATTTAACCCGGAAAAATGACTAGCTTTGATTTTTCTAGTATTTTGATTCTTAAACCTGTTGTCGGAGCTAGACTTTTTATATTTTAAACTTATGTAAATCAGCTGTTTAGTCATTTTTAAATATTTGTCTCTTGACTAGGATTTTTATTTGTTTAGATACCTCATGATAAATTCACACTTTTTGTTCTTTCAAAGCCCCCCCCCCCCATCCTAAAAATACTTTTAAAACTCTGATCAATTGATATGCTTTATTTTCTTTAAGGATTTTCACATAATTGTTTTGGAACTACATAATTACATGAAATCTTGCAAAATACACTATTTTTTAATTGATAAAATTTTAACACAAAGAAAATTATATAATCTGAAACAGAGGAACAAAAACTCAATATAAAAGTATGAAAACAATTAAAGTAAGATTATATTGATTTAAATTTTCATATTTGACTTTAGTCTTCATATTGGTTGAATCTACTTTTACTAAAGGGGCAGATGTGCGTGCCTCTGTCCTCTCATAACTAGGTTTGAAAGGACTCTTCTCAAGATTTATTTTGTTATCTCTAATAGCTTTGCAGCCTGATAGTTGTAACATCTTTGAGATCTCAAACTTTGAATTCTACTCAATCAATTATTTTGAATGTTAAACTATCAGAAATCAGAAACTTACATTTTAATTTTTCTTATAAAATAAATCGATAGTTAAGTTTTTTCAATTCTGACTTATATTTTTAAATATCTATATTGAGAAGAACAAAAATGTTTTAAATTTCTAATAATCAATCAAATAAACTAGTTTTCTTCTAATAGAGGAGCTACGAGGTCACAAAGTTGTAGCGGTGATGTTGCATCCTGATTTCTTTATAACTGATCTCCCCCCCCCCCCTCGGGGTAAAGGTATCTCATCTAATATTGTTATTTAAGGAAGTGTTCGCAATAAAATTAAAGATGATATTGGCTAATGTCGAAAAATATTCGATGGTGATTTCTACTTATCTTACTTCTATCTGTTGCGTCTATAAAGAGAAAATATTTTAAAATTACTCATACCGAAGAACGTAGCTTAACCATTCAAATTCAGAAAGTTGCAATATTCATCTCGGATCGTAAAAAATTTAATTTAATTCCAATTTAATCATTCAGATATTACAACCTATAGTCATCGATATTTTTTCGATGCATTCATGTATAGTCGATATTTCAGAATATAATTTATGAACTTAAAAACACGATTTTTTTGTCTGCTAGGTGTCTCTCCCACGTGGAACCACAGAAACATCGAGAGCCGAGACACCTGGCGTACAACTTATCGTGGTTTAAATTAGAGGTTATAATATCTAAATGGTTTGTTTTTAATTAAATTGATTTTTTTTACGATCGTATATTGCAACTTTCTGAATTTGTGTGGACGCTATGTAGTATGAGTCGTTTTTTAAAAATGTTCTCCTTGAAGACGCAACAGAAAAAAGTTAGATTAGTAGCGATCACTATCGAATATTTTTAAACAGAAGCCTCTACCCCCTTAAAATTTTTGTGTACTCTCCCTTTCAGTAAGTATGTAAGTAAGTAAGTGAGTAAGGAAGTTACTATTTTGACACGTGATTCCTTCCCTGGATAAAATTTACTAAAATAATATTTAATCTTATATTCTTAGTAAGTAAGTAAGTAATTAGGTAAGTAAGTAAGTAAGTAAGTAAGTAAGTAAATAAGTAAGTAAGTAAGTAAGTAAGTAAGTAATTAAGTAAGTAAGTAAGTAAGTAAGTAATTAAGTAAGTAAGTAAGTAAGTAAGTAAGTAAGTAAGTAAGTATTTTAACAAGCGTTCCCCTGGATAAAAAAATAACTAAAATATTACCTATTCTAATATTGTTTGGAAGTGTATGAGTAGCTGGTGGTAGGATGGTAAGGGGGAAAACACAGTAAATTAACTCCATCATCTATATACAGTATATACCAGATAAAAAGAAACAGACACCCCTTGCAGTCAGCAGTCAGCAGATGTAAACAGATCTTAAGAAAAACCTGTGTTTGCAATTCAATATTGGTTTTAAGAAAGTTAAATCTTTGCTTACAATTATACAATTACAATATCGTGGATTTTCTCATAAAGAAAAGCCTTATGGCTGCAGTTTTTTTTGTTCTGAATTTAGTAAATTGGATCTTTGTTACTAAAGCAAATTGTCTAACCCCAACATCTTTGCTATCCTGATGGTGTATTTCAAAATAAGATTATTTTAACTAACAAATTTAATAGTTTAAAATATTAAGGTCTGTGACATTATAGCTTGCAAAATATTATGATTTAAAAATCTAAGTTTGTGGCAAAGACTTAAATCGTTTCTAAAAATACATTCCTAGCTGCTTCGTTTTTTGTAGCATTTGGATAAAAACATTTTCAATAATTGATGAAGACATATTTTTCCTCTATAAGCGATTAGCTACCTGCATTTTTTACAATAACTGATTAAACTTAATTTCATTTAAAAATACACACTTGAATGAATGCTGAAAAAAAATTTGATTTTCGAAACCAGGTTCACAACGGTAATTACAAGAATAAAAGTTGCCCCCTCCCTCCCCCCCGGACTAGGTATGGTAAGCATTACTAATATTAAATCAGTATGAAGCCGTATACAGAGTTAACATTGACAACTTCAATCCCTTATATATTAAAATAATGAAGCTATTCACATGTATAGCTTTATATGTAAAAAAAACAGTAAAAGTAGTTCAAATGATGAATGAATGACGTTTTCAATTTCAGGATTTTTAACGTGTAATTAGTTTTACTTACAGGGGCTGTAAGCGTAATTTCAATTGAACCTTCGTGCAAAGCTAGGAATGTCAGATTTACAACGGTACTGTTAAGAGCAGTCAATTTTTTACGGAAACACTTTTTCTAAATTATTTTATTTAGCATTTTACAATTATTGATTAAACATTGAGAGCAGCATTTTCTCTCTAGCACTGATAAAAGTTAATTCTTTAAAATTAATTAATACTAAAGTCGATGTAAATGTATTTTTCCTAAAACCGACATTGTAAATTTGTATTGAAATTTATATTTACCTTTTTAATGGCTAAACCTTCATGTGTAATCGCAAGAAAAATATCTCTCATTAACTAGAGCATACTTCAATCTGAAACTGTATATTTTAAACAAATCTTTCGGATAAATTGAACTTTTACCAAAGTCATTTTTTGCAATTAAAACGGAGCGGAGTACTTGACATAAAGTAGATTTCTCTTATCCTTATATTTTGTCTTAACTTGCCTTAACTTGTCTTAACATGTCTTAACTTGGCTTAACTTGTCTTAACTTGTCTTAACTTGTCTTAACTTGTCTTAACGTGTCTTAACTTGTCTTAACATGTCTTAACATGTCTTAACTTGTCTTATCTTGTCTTAACATGTCTTAACTTGTCTTAACTTGTCTTAACTTGTCTTAACTTGTCTTATGTCTTAACTTGTCTTAACTTGTCTTAACTTGTCTTAACTTGTCTTAACATGTCTTAACTTGTCTTAACGTGTCTTAACATGTATTAACTTGTCTTAACTTGTCTTAACTTGTCTTAACTTGTCTTAACTTGTCTTAACTTGTCTTAACTTGTCTTAACTTGTCTTAACATGTCTTAACTTGTCTTAACTTGTCTTAACTAAGAATAATTTGACAGATAAATTATTAAAGTTTGAAGTTTCAAAGGATTACATCATCAGATTACAAAAATATGGGAATTATAAACTTAGATTTGTGGCAACTACTCAGTTCATTTAGTACTGTTCTTTTTTTAGATACATTTTTTCCTATACTCTGTAGATTTACTCACATCAGTTTCAGGCTTTTTATTTCCTTTATTTCATACTTTTAAATGGTAACATTATAGTAAAATAGCAGTGTACGTACATATTAAAAACAAGGGTTTACATTCCCAGCTAGAATATCATCTTTTTTCCTATTATTACCATCATTATCTAAAGGAATTGAGTCTTTGTCACAAACTCTGATTTTCTAATCCCTATACCTTTGCAACCCAATGTCGTAGTCCTTAGATATTTCAAACTATGAGTTCTGTTATATCAAAAAATTAAAGTTTGAAATGTGAAAGTTTTACACCATCAGTTTGCAAAGCTATAGACAAATTTAAGTTTGAAGCAAAGACTATTTATTATTTTTTATGCGTATCGTGTTAATTTATAGACATTTTCTACTTTTTAAAGAGAGACAGTTAAGTGATATAAAATATATTTAAAATAACCAAAAAAGTTATTGGCAAAAAAGAAAATATTATTTCCGATTCCCAAGTTGCATTCTGATGGTGGAAAAAATTAGATATTTCAATAATTGAGTATTTAATTTGCAGTAGATGGCGTTTATATCAATACAATTAAGACTTCTTTCCTATTTAAGTTTTGATTTTTAACAAGATTTTTTCCAATTACAAGTTTACAAGTAAACAAAGAGAAGCTGGTAATTGGCATCTTGTGTTTCCACGTTTATTTTTTATCCTTCCTGATGAAAAAAACATGAAAATCAAAAGTCGTCTTTATTTTATTGACATTTACGATGACGACTGTAAATTTTCTAGTTGGTAGCGATTAATCTGTTCCTTGGTTTTTTATTGATTTTAATTTTCACTGATTTCATCGGTGTTGGCTGCTAAATATAAATACATAACATTTCTTTAACATCTGAATATCCTTATTATTTTTATCTGGTTTGTTTTGCAATAAACAGATATCTCTGCTGGAATTAAATATATAAAAATGCAAACTCATTGATCTAATTTAGAACCTCATTCATTGAGATAATGTGTATTGTTTATTATAAATATGATTCAAGGAAACTTGATTTAAAAACGCTTAAAACACTTATCTTACCAATACTTTTTTCACATATTTTAAAAAAAATTTTATCTTCAACCCCAAATTCTTGACGAGAGTCAACAAAATTTTTAATAATGGCATTCAAATTTTACATTGTAATCGTCGAACTTACTATTTGAAACTAATGATTTCATAAGAAATATCATTAGATTCCTAAATAATTTTAATAAGAAAAATTCATTTTCGTTTACAAAAAATAAGAACTAAACTCTCTCGTTATCATCTCTGATGCTTTGAAAGTTATTGAAATCTTTGCAACAAAAAGCTAGAAATTGGAAGCAACCCAGAAAATAGAACTAATCTCTGGTTAAATCGAAAACTAGGAATTCACTATAACCTGTCCAAAAAAACATCAAAGACATTTTTCTGTAATTGATCAGAATTAAAAAAAAAACCCACATGGAAAACAAAATTGTAGATTTTTTATTCGAATTTAGATTACTTTAATTAATGTTGGAAATGTACAACATCTTTAACCAAACCTCTGATGAATAAAAAGAGTAGGGATAGTAATATTTCGCTTAATCTTGTTTATACCTCTGCTGTAGTTGAGCACTTTATGATATTCCCTGTATTTGATGTATGCTAATAGTGTTTTATTGATAACGAAATATTCCTGGCTCTTGATGTATTAATTACAAAATATTAAGAACACTTCTAGAGATATTATTTGGACTTGTCTGTTTTCTAAAAAAAATTCAAAATTTTTACTTTTATTTTAGTTAAAATGAATTAATTAATGCTTAATTCATTACTGAAGCAGAAACGAACTCTTTTCTTTTCAAATAAAAATAATTTGCTTTAACCCTTAAAGGTCTTGAGAATTTGTGGTCTATTAAAATTGGTTTAAATCACAAAAATGTACAGATGAAAATAAAGATTTAACCTTTTAATTCAAAATTCATCATTCATCTTATTTTAAAGGGACTTTAAAGGAAGGGGGTGTAGAATGGAACCTGAGAATCTCAGATATTAAATGAAACATATAAGACATCTTTATGATGATTCTGTCTTGAGAAATTGGTTTAAAACTGTGTCAAATTCATACGAAAATTTATATATCGGCAATTTTGTGATAAAGGTGTAATATTAAACAGATCATATCCAACAAATATGCAACCAATCTGAAAACGACGATATCCCACAGGAGCCTGAGAATCTCAGGTTTGCTCCTATTATAATTTTTATTTTTTTATTTTGCTTTTTTCATAGATAAAATTGATAATATAATTACATAGTCCGTATAGTCCGTATTTCGTCACCAGATCTTCAGCCAATGGCACTGCGGTATCGTCACGTGATACAGACGGAAATTACGTGACCAGTATAAATTTGACACAATTTTGTAAATCGTTTCTGACATTTGAAAGAGACTAATTAGCAGCATAGAAATTGTGAACATTTTTATTTCTGCACAAGACGGCCCCTATTACTGTAGATTGAGTATCAAAGGTCCGATATTTCAGACTAAAACATTTATTTTGTATGCATAAACATTTCCAAACTAACTCTTTGAGTGATGCTAGACCCTTTAAACTTATCTCTGAAAACGAGAATATTGAGATAAACTGGTTTTTATCTCTGAAAACTGATAAATTTCAATTAATGACGTGAAGATAAAAGCACAAAGAAGGAAGAGTATTGATAGAATCTTTTTATAAGATCAAAAATAAAGATATGTTGTGAATTGAACTGTAAATTCTTTTATTTCAGGGTAATATATAAATGACCCGTTGGCCGTTAATATAGATTTAACCATATTCACAATTTATAAAAGTATCATTTTAAACCCAAACCTAATGAACAATGCCGACGTTTTAATCGTTTTCAATCATTAAAAAAATGATTTTAAAAACATAGAAACATGAAGCAATTCCTTTTTTAAACTAGGCTTTCAGGGCGCTTTGCGCTCATCTTCTTTTTTAATTGTTTACATTTTCTTTAGACAAAAATAAAAAAAGTTCGCGGATTTAAAAAAAATTCGTGGATTTTTAAAATTTAATGAAGATCGATTTTTGTTATTGGCAAATTTTTGAAATTTTGATCGTCCATAAACCTCCAAACCTTTCCTGAGGTCATATGAGGTCCCACACAAAATTTGGGCCCTATTGGTTCAGCCGTTTTGAAGTTTATTAGATACAAACTAACAAACAGACAAGCAAAGTATATGTATATAGATAGAGAGGGAATCAAAAGTGATGATAAAAATATGATGAATTTTCAGAATCTAGATTTGACTGGATCTGTTCTCTAAATACAACCTCCGTTATCGGAGTCTACTTATAAACTGAGAGGATACTGAGATATCCGGAGAAATGGTTTCATCTCCCGGGATATGAATTCTCTGATCCCCGGCACATAAATTCTCCGATCCCATGGATACAAATTCTCCGATCCCAAGGATACAAATTCTCCAATCCCAAGGATACAAATTCTCCTATCCCCAGGATACAAATTCTCTGATCCCAAGGATACAAATTCTCCGATCCCAAGGATATAAATTCTCTGATCCCCAGGATATAATTTCTCCAATCCCAAGGATATAAATTCTCTGATACGTTGGATACAAATTTTTGGATCCCCGAGATATGAATTCTCCGATCCCTGGGATATAAATTCTCCGTTCCCCGGGATATAAACTCTCCAATTCCTGGGATATAAATTCTCAGATCCAAGGGATATAAATTCTTAGATCTAAGATTCCCAAGATATAAATTCTTTGATCCCTGGGATATGAATTCTCTGATCCCCAGGATATAAATTCTCCAATCCCAAGGATATAAATTCTCTGATCCCCAGGATATAAATTCTACGATCCCTGGGATATAAATTCTCCGATCCCCGGGATATAAATTCTCTGATCCCCGGGATATAATTCTCTGATCCCCGGGATAGAAAAATTTACAATCCCCAGAATATAAAACCTTCGATCTCCAGGGATATAAATTTTAAATGATTTTGGTAAGTTCAATCAATATGACAAACAAAACGTTTTGTCTAACAGCGAATACTCTACTCTGTAAAATATGTGATGAAGACTGTAAATATTTTACTTTCGGGAAACTGCTAATAAAATAGTTAAGTATTTTTAAACAACTTAAGCTTATAAAAGTTCTAAAAAAAGATCCCCTTTTAAATAATTTCTTCCAATTCAAGTTTGTACATCCCTTTACGTACTTTCTGTAAATATATAGATCATGACTTTAAAGCATCATTTTTAAATGACACACATTTAAAAAGCCTGATAAATGGTTTTATATATTCAAGGATTCAGGTATACTCTTGTGTCATCTTTCATGTTTCTTATTTTTAAACAAAAATTAACAATTTTTATAAGGTTTACCTATTTTTTGTTTCTAAATTGTAAATCTTTCATTTTGGGACAAAAATTGAAAATTCATTTTTGATCCAACAGCCGTGGTAAAGACACACTTTCAAGGACAAAAGTTAGTTTAGAAAAAAACGTTTACCTTTTTGAGAGATTTTTAATACCTATCAAAATATTAAATTATGCCAGAAAATGGATAACGTACAAATTTAAATTTCTTCGGTCAGAGTACTACAAATCCCTTTAGAGTACTAAATATCCCACTGTTTCTTCGATTCTTCGATCAGAGTACTGCAAATCTCACTGTTTCTTCGGTCAGAGTACTGCAAATCTCACTGTTTCTTCGGTCAGAGTACTGCAAATCTCACTGTTTCTTCGGTCAGAGTACTGCAAATCTCAATGTTTCTTCGGTCAGAGTACTGCAAATCTCACTGTTTCTTCGATCAGAGTACTGCAAATCTCACTGTTTTTTCAGTCAGAGTACTGCAAATCTCACTGTTTTTTCGGTCAGAGTACTGCAAATCTCACTGTTTTTTCGGTCAGAGTACTGCAAATCCTACTGCGCTCTGGATGTTTTGGAGACAAAATTGGTCTTTGAACCTTTGGTAAAATAAAATTCCCTTAGGTTCCCTGTAAAGTAGTTGTAAATAATTATAATATCAACATGGTTATTAATTTTACTCCTCAGAAATGGTAGTAATAGCATCAACATGGTTATGATCTTTCTTCCCCTGGAATTGTAATAAATAGCATTGTCAGCTCTTGAACATCACCACAGTTATGAACTTTGCTGCCCTGGAATTGTAGTAAATATCATCTATCCTTGAGTTCTATATCTCCAGGTTTGGAGGCCTAATGACCTGAAAACTATGTTCTACTATAGAAACCTAAATACCTTAAACTAGAGGGTTTTCTGGGTCAAACATCAGGATCTAACTGGTTGAACCAGACAATATATGTCACTAGACTTGGCTAGATCTACAATATTAGTTAGAAAATATTTCAAAATAAAGATGAAAAATATTTCTAATTTTTGGTCATTTTTGGCAGTTTTTATTTCACCAAATAAATTTTCAGGATTAAAAAATATTTTAATGATTTTTTTTGCATTTTTTCCAAATTATGAATAAGAAAAACGAATTTCTTAATTTCAAGCAGAAAAAATATGAAAGAATAAATGGCTGTTCCTAACTTATTTTTTTGGCAAAATAGGATGTTAGCGTAATAATTCATCAGTCAGCTGTACAGATAAAGCTCTATATATATATATTTCAGTTTTTAACTTCACATTTTTTATTAAAAAAGAATATATATATTTATATTTATTTATAAAAAACGCAGTCAACCCACACAACACTGGAGGAGAAGGTCAACCTTATGCGACTTTGCTGGCACTGCTTTGTGATCTCGTGGCTCCTCTAGTCTTGATTGTACGTACAAGGCACTGCTTTGTGATCTCGTGGCTCCTCTAGTCTTGATTGTACGTACAAGTATGAGAAAAGCTTATTTATCAAAGGCCGAGTTTAAAGAATCTGAGCCGCGGTTTAAATTTAGGACGCCGCTCAAATATGGTTGGTTCCACTTAAATAAGTATTCAATGTTTCAAGATTTAAGCCGGCGCTTAATTGAAACCGGTTTTTGGCGGATTTAAGACGCGGCTTAAATTCATTAAATTCGGACTCTGGTTACAAATCGGAAATTAAAACGTTTTTGTTCTTCTCGATACATCTTCAATAAGAACCGTAATGATCTAAAGCATTTTGGATTTTAATCCTACGTTCAATTTACTTTAGTTTGCCCCCCCCCCCTCCTAATAAGATTTGTAAACATTAAGCTTTAATTAAAATACCATAAATTACTATGAGACCACTGAACAGAGTCTACACATGGAATATCCCCGAATATAAATGATTTGGATAATATATAAAAACATATTGAATAATAGGTTGGAGGAAACCACACACCACAATGTGAATCTAAATTCATCAATTCATTCATAGATTACATAGATATAACAAGAGTGGTGGCTAATCTTGCATTTACTGTGTAACATTATCCATTTGTTATTATATTCACATCATTAAAATAATAAAAAAAATTATGGAAAAATACTTATTTTTGTCTGAAAAATAATAACTTTTAATAAAAATGCTTATGGATTTATAAAGTACTGAAAATGAAAAAAATTGTGTATCTCTTTTTAAGACAGAAAAAAATGGCACCGTTTAGAATCTGGTATTAAACTATCTAAATAGAGGGTTGAAATTCCGTTAAAAGTCTCTTTAATATGCTTATCCAAGACATGGTGCAGCTTGCAGTTCTACAGATTACTGTATTCAATTGGTAAATTTCAAGATACAAAACCTCTCTTGTCCTATCTCTCTGTTATCTGCATTCATCAATCTGCATTAGGAGCAATACTGAGACTGTCGACTTCATTTTTAAAGATCCTTCCAAAAAAAATGCGCAAACGTGCTCTCTAAACCTTTGCAAGGATTAATAAGATTTCCCTATTTTATCCACCAGAAAACTGATTAATTATAATTATGGTTTCTCTGTCAGTATGACTTGCAGATGTATGCAGTATAGAGCTAATAAAAGATAATGATAGAGTTGAATCCTTTTTAAAAGAGAAAACAAGGAAATCATCAGCAGGTGTGAATCAGACACATCCTATTTATCCTTAACCTTAACTGAGCTGAAAACTTTAGAATTGTGAATATTGAGATCAATGCTTGATCTTCTCTTTTTATAAACTCAAGATTAATTTAATCTTTAGTCTGTATCATGAAAAGTGAATAAAATTCAACCAATAGAGTAGCGTATGCCCGAGCAGCCAATCAGATGCCGGGAAATTTGAAATTGTTCGTGCCATTTTCTAAGAGAGCTCTCATTAGTCTAAAATCTGAGGATGGGGATATTTAAAAAGAGAGAAAAGAACTGCAGGTTGGATTGGATATTCAGATTAAGCGATCCAATTCTAAAGTTCCCAGCTCAGAGCTGAAAAATTTATAAATGGGATATCCTAAAAAGGACTGTAAAGGAAAAATGAAAGGGAGTATAGGCTGAAAGCTATTCACTTTAGCTCTTGATCTGTATCACGTGACCAGTATACTCACTAACATTGGCGGAGTTCTGATGAAGTCATACGTACTTATGAATAATATTATCAATTATATCTATTAAAAATGAAAATAAAGATTATAAATAATAATTGGAGAAAACCTAAGTTACAATAGGTTTCTCTGAGATATCTTCGTTTTCAGATTGGTTGTGTATTTGCTGAATATGATCTGAGCTGAAAACTTTAGAATGGGATATCCTCTATCCTGATTTGTTAATTAATCCGGAGATTAATAACATGAGGAGAACAAGCAATATTTAATCTGGAGATTAAGAAAAAGAGGAGATCAAGAATTGATCTCGGTATTCAACATTCTAAAGTTTTCAGCTCTGTTTAAACCTACCATTTCTATACTAAATTGTATATATATGAATATTTGACACAGTTTTTATCAATTATTCGAGACAGGAACATTAGATTTAACTTTTATGTGTCGTGATCAAGAGTTAAAGTGAATAGCTTTCAACCCCCTTTCATTTTTCCTATACGGTCCCTTTAATCATGTTCGGTTAATTAATCAGGAGATTAAGAAGAAGAGTAGAACCAGCATTATATAATCTGGAGATTAGGAAAAAGAGGAAATCAAGCATTAATATCTACCATCCTAAAGTTTTCAGCTCCGAGCTGAAAACTTTAGAGTGGGATGTCCTTAATCCCGATCGCTTAATCTGAGTATCCAATTTACACACTTTTGATTTTCTTCTTAATCCTCTTTTTCGGAGACGTCTACAGTATAAAATAGATAACAATTACAGATACAATGCTATTTCGATTGGACTAATATCCGATTGAAATAAAGTCAGCTGTTCACAAGCCGGCTTTTAGAGCATTCAAACAAATACAAATTTTATCATGTTAGTATTAACTTATTAAGAAACATATTTTATAACATTTAAGGACGTAGCCTTTTTGAACGTTAATCTTTATAAACATCAATTCAAAACTTACGTTCGTTCAATCAATCATTAGTTCAATTGATATGTCCACACCATCAACACCAGAAATGCACAAAAATTAAAAACCAGGTTTTCAAAAGTTACAGAGCGAATTTCTGATCTCTAGAAATAAATCTAAATACTTAATTATAGTCTTGATAAAAGAGAGGATCAAGTATTGATCTCGATATCCACCATTATATAAAGTTTTCAGCTCTGGTACCTTTTTAATTATGGTATTGAGTTAATCTATTCTTGTCTGAAAAATTCAACAATAACTGAGAGCAAGCAAATTGTGATAACATTTTGGGAAAACATTGATGATTGAAAAGTACATATTTTAGTAGATAAAATGTGCGTCAAGAATTTGCTTGTCCTTTACATCTACATGTGTGCAAGCTGTAGTGTTATACTATATACTGTATACTGTATATTGAATATATATAATTATGCAGATATTATGGAAAACTATTCCTAGATCACCCATCAGTAATCATGAGTACTTGCGTACAGGAATGCGTAAATATGCGAACAGAGTTACATAGCTCTGCGTATAAGTGAATGACGGCAGTTAAAGGATTGCGTGTGACCATGCTGCGTTTGCGTCATGTTTGCGTATACTTGAAGGATTAGACAAGGGTTTAAATGTGGGTATATGGTCGGCAAACTAAAATTGTCAAAATATATCATGTTAATGTTGGGCCCAAGCCATTTATACCAATATAGAGGCTCGTGGGGGGGAATCATAGNTTTACTTTGGAATCCTGTTTTACCTTGGGATTCTGCTTACCTTGGGATCCTGCTGATATCTGAGTTCCATCTCAGCCAAGGGTATATCGGAGCAGGACACTCCCTTTCCACCCTTCATCTCAGAGGATACAACCTCGTTTCCAGGACTCAGGAAACTTTTTCGGGAAACACCGTGAAGAGGGATGGAGTGGGAAAAGGATGACTGGGAAAAAGAACAAATTATTTTACTATTACAAATTGTTATTTTGTCTTTGTACATACATTTACACCGTACTGCAAACTCCGGTACGTTTCAAGTACAGGTCTGACTTTCAAGCAGTACAGTACACGTATACAGACTATGTATATGTAAAATGCAAACCGGGACAATCCACCAAATGAATCAGCTCCTTTAGGGAGAATCTAGTATAACTGGAAACTGTACACTGTACACAGTTGTCTGATATTGTACAAGGTACACACTGTACAGTAGAATATGTGTACACAATATGCAGTTAAAGGATAATATGCTTGTCTATGTAAGAAGTATTAAGCCCTGAAGGCTTGATCTGAGAATTCTGTATTTATAAATAATGATAATGATAATATAATAATATTAATAAAATGACGGATTAACATGAAGACCTTGCAGAAATTACACTTAGAGCTACTTATTCAACGCAGGATCAGCGGGTTATCTTTAGACATGGAGTAAATATAGAAATACAGGGAGTCNTCCTCCAATCAACGTCTTACATGCTTGATTGAAAACTATACTTTTTTAACCTTTATCTGAGGAGAAAGATCAGGTTTTACTTTATTAAAAAAACATATTTTGTCAATTTCCTCCTTGTCTCTGCTGCATACATCCACATGTCACGTCATGTCATGTGAATAGAAAACTATCAAATTTTAGAACAAACTCAAGTATATCTCCATCATTGATCTCCATCATTGTAACTCAGGTATGCATATATAACACAACTGCTGTGTTTCACGTTCATTGGCTAATTATATATTTTTTAACTGATACTCTGGCAGTTGTCTTACCATTCCACAGTTTTATGGTTCCCACCCTACAGGAAAAGTTAGCGGAAGCTCCCTACAAAACAAATCCTGTTTTACCTTGGGATCCTCCTGTTTTACCTTGGGATCCTGTTTTACCTTGGGATTCTCCTGTTTTACCTTGGAATCCTGTTTTACCTTGGGATTCTGCTTACCTTGGGATCCTGCTGATATCTGAGTTCCATCTCAGCCAAGGGTATATCGGAGCAGGACACTCCCTTTCCACCCTTCATCTCAGAGGATACAACCTCGTTTCCAGGACTCAGGAAACTTTTTCTGGACACACCGTACACGTTTCCTGGTTTCCTGGATACACTAGATACACCAGGTTTCCTGGACACCCCGGGGATACAGCCCGTAGATTCAGCCATATATTCTTCAAGAACTTCACTCAGCTCAGGATCAGGGTTCTAAACAAATATTCAATAAAAAATTAATTAATTAAAACAATTGTTTTTTTTAGTTTTGAAAAATTTTAATGTCTACAATAAATGACTGCTTGCCTCGTACTGTAAAGTGCAAGCTGTCGTTGCAGACCTTTTTATTTAGATCTGCGAATTCTGATATATCTACTTGTCGAAAAAGGTTAACACTATCAGGTTGCAAATGTATGCATATGAGAAGATTAAATTATTTGAAAGGTGTACACAGCCATGATGTTAATGATAATATTAAGATTTAGGTTACAGAGTACAGAAGTATTAAATAAATAACTTCTTCATTGTTAACACAGATATTCTACTTTTATTTTAAAAAAATAAAGTTTCACTTTTAAGAAGAAAATTGTCAAGAAATATTTGAAGGAATAAAAAGTTGAGTTTTTTGAGAATTTTGTTACCACTTTATCTTTGCTACCCAATGTTTTATGTTATAGACATTAAAAATTTCAAACTATGATTTCTGTTTGGTCAAAGAGTCAAAACTACACTGTCAGGTTACAAAGATATAGGGATTAGAAAAGCCGAGTTTGTGGCAAAACTAAATTACTTTATTTGTGTAATTTTTTTTAAATCCAAATTTATGTTATTTACCACCATAGATGTCTTTTAAAATTGAAGTACTGCGAGAACCAGAAACTCTGGAATAAGAAAAACAACTCAATGACTCTGCAGTTAAAAGTTTTAATAGTGCAGTAAAATGATATACAGCAATTGACTTTCATGTCGTCTTACTATTACACAGTTTTCTGGTTCTCATCGTATTCTTCTAAATCCTCTTTAGGAGGAGTTATTTAACTATTGTGTATACGGAAACAGATTAGTTAAATATATTCATCAGAAGCAGACATATTTAAACAAGACCTTAATATTTGGAAACAACTCAATCACTCAATTATAGACGGGAATAGATTTAAAAGATTTAGACAAAATGGAGATAGTCCTACAACGTTAAATTAATGTTAACTGCACTGAATCTTATACGTTTTCAATCACATTTTCTTTTATTAAAGAACTGCTGAGAAAAACAATATGTTTTGAATTTTAAATATGTAACCGGATCAATTTACTTGTCATACTTGTGCGTAAAATTAAAACAAACAGAGAGTAGTATAAAGTTTACAGTAATTATGCTCTGCACTTTTTTCAAACGTAACAGATTCAGTAATAACTCATCCATGAAAGTCAAAGGGGCACTCAGTGATGTGGCATTAATTTTGTGACGTAAAAAGTGTACTGCAAAAAATTTAAACAAACTTTACCTGCAGGGAGGACAGAAAATAATCCTTGAACTCTCTGAATCAAAATAGTATCAATTGTTGTCCCTGTCCTTTTGTTGTCTTCTAATAATTAACAACTTAATATCAAAACCATTTGTAAATAGATCAATGTCTGTCAGAATAGTTTAATTAGTTTTCTTGTATTGAGCGGCCAATGGACAAAACAATTAGTCAAACATGATTTTTTAGTTTAAAAAATGCACAAGACATATGATGTAAATAGATTTCAGAGGATTCTGAATTTGTGCGGCTCTAATTGATAATATTCCTGAGCTCTGGGAGGTGCGGCTCCACGAATCCGCCACCACTGAAAACCTTCCGCCAGGACTGTAATCTCTGCAGTTCTAATCCTAAAGATCCTGAAAAAAAAACATGTTTTTGGTTTATTTCTAATTTTATATCAATTTGATGCTACTCTTTTTTCTCGTAATGTCAACTTTTTTATCGAACCATAAGTACGATGGTGTATGAATCGCAATATCTGGCATGGAATTAATCTTGGTCATTTTCTGTTCAGTTTGTGCTGTATGAAATTGCTTTCAATCAATACAACATAGCAGAATATACATTAATCATTACATAAAAAGTCTCTTGAAATGTTAAATATTTGTGTACATTTTCTAACGAAATTGAGTTCATTGCTACAAACTCTGATTTTATGATTCCTATATCTTGCAACTCAAAATCGTAGATCTTAAATATTTTAAACTATAAATTCTGTTAGATCAAATAATCCAAGTTTAAAATATCAATAAATTACACCATCGGGTTGCAAAGTTAGATCAGAAAATTTTAGTTTGTGGCAAAAATTTAGTTCTTTATCGTAACATTTTATATATCCTATTTACGACTTTATAAAACAAATGATAATAGCTATTAGAGGGAATTCTATGATAATAAATATAAAAAATAAAGGATAATCTGTACTCGGGTTTAATTGTTACAAAGGTTAACAATCGTTTCAGGGTGTATTGTTCTTGAAAACTATATTTAATATAATGGGCAAAATTCTCATTAATACACAGAGAAGAGAGAATAGAAGTGGGTTTGGGGGGGATTCTAGATGCCTTTATGTGCACATATTTTAATTTAAGATGTATTGTAAGTAAAAACGTTGAAGAGAGGGGGGTATACAGAGGTATTTATGTGCACATATTTTAATTTAAGATGTATTGTAGGTATATATAGGCCTTGTTTTAAGATTGTTAAGAGAGTTCAGAAATTGATTTTTAAAAAGTTTAGACTTTTCCCAAAAAAAGTAGGTTCCGGGCTACCCAAAAACGTGAGGCTGTACTAAATTTCTTCAGCCAGGTTCCCTTCAGCTGTTGTTTCTCTCTTTGTCAAATTATGTTTCAACCAAATACTTGTTTTTTTCTCAGTGTGATATATGTTATTAAAGTATTAATTTTAGTGGTAACCCTTTAGACATTAAACAGACCTATTAACCAGGTGGGTTTGCTAGGTAGGTCAACATGCATGAGGTGTTCAGCTATAGCGACCACATCAGCAGGTTCAAGGATAACTGCGACAACAGGGTTGGGACGAGATATGCTTCGTAGAAATCCTTCAACTGCTGGACCTGAGATATACATAGTAGTCTAGTAGTCTAGTAGTCTAGTAGTCTAGTAGTCTAGTAGTCTAGTAGTCTAGTAGAGTAGTCTAGTAGTCTAGTAGTCTAGTAGTCTAGTAGTCTAGTAGTCTAGTAGTCTAGTAGTCTAGTAGTCTAGTAGTCTAGTAGTCTAGTATCTAGTAGTCTCGCTGTCTAGCTGCCTCCCTGTCTAGATTTCTAGCTGTCTCGGAGTCTAGCTTTCTAGCTGGCTAGATGTCTAGCTGTCTAGCAGTCTAGCTTTCAAGTTCTATATCTGTAAAGCTGTCTCCCTGTCTAGATGGCTATAGATGCTTATCAGTCTAGCTGTCTAGCTTTTTAGCTGCCTAGCTGTTTAGCTGTCAAGCTGGTCTAGCTGTCTAGCTGCCTAGCTGTCTAGCTTTCCAGCTGTCTAGCTGTCTAGCTGTTTGGCTTTTTAGATATCATGCTGTCTAACTGTCTATCCTTACCTATATTGATCTGTTTCGGAACTAGCTCTAGTATTTCCGGGACCCTGGACAAGACATTCATTAATCAAAATACAGCAAACCCACAAACTTTTATCATCTTTAACCTTTGCTTTATTAATTTGTTAATTAGGTCTATTAGAAAGTTTGAAATTAAAATACTAACTAAAAGTGCTACATTTATTTTGTCTGTCCGTTTGCTAGTTTGTTCCAAAACAATTACCTCCAACAATCATGAAAATCTGCCAATGTAAAATCTGCCAATGTAAAATCTACCAATGTAAAATGTAAAATAAAAAATCTGCAAAATCTTACTTTGCCATTGTAATAAACATGCACAGGTTGAAAAAAAGACTATAAAAGATGGCGACCTTAAAAATTTAGCAATAAAATCCCACCTGATTCCTAGTGTGGTGGACTCGGCCAAAAAGCTTGTAACTGATTGAGCGGAACTAGCAATTAGAGCAATCTTTCTTGCGGTCAACTCATAACCAATATGCGCCAACGCCTAAACCATACATTGGTTACCATAGATCTCACAGATTAGACAACAAAATGTTTTTGTAGTATTTATTTTTTCATTTCTTCAACCTGGTAAGGGCTTTTTTAAATTGAATCTTTATTTACAAAAGTTCAAAAAATGTTGTGAAATATAAATACATAAATATTATACTAATTTGAAATACATTTCTATCACTGTTAATGTATACATCTTTTGATCGTTGCTAAGAGAATTTTTGAAAATAATAAAATTTGCATTGGCCTTCAAGAATTCCAACCCGAATAATTCCTCCAAGAAGAAACATTTTAAAGGAAAAATTAAGGTTGCTTTTTCTACATAGGACTTTTCATGAAAAAAAACTTGAAATAAAATTTGAAATAAACCGTCCCACATGTAGTGGACATCGAGTCACTCTGGTAGGCTTACATAACAATGTTCAACCCCTGGCCTTGACTCTTAAATTTTCTTTCGAGAACTCTCCCTTTAGAAATTAAAAACACGTTTACGCAGAAATTCCTTTAAACAGATGGAATATTTACCCTGGCTTGTCCACCAAGATCTGGAGCTGTAGTTAACAAGTTACTCAGACTCATATCTCCAGCCTATACAAGATATATATATATATATATAAATCATGTAGTTAACAAGTTACTCAGACTCATATCTCCAGCCTATACAGGATATATATATATATATATATANTCAAAAAGATTTATTCAAGATGTATTGATTGATTGATTAGTTGACAGGATAGTTTAGAATTTCACATGTTTTCTCTCTAAATATGTTTAAAATATGGTAAACCCCTCAATATATATATATCATGTAGTTAACAAGTTACTCAGACTCATATCTCCAGCCTATACACGATATATATATATATATATATATCATTTAGTTAACAAGTTACTCAGACTCATATCTCCAGCCTATACAGTATATATATATATATATATAATTATAATCAAATCATCAATAAATAATTAATTTCATAATTGTTATAAATTTATTCTGGAACATATTAATCTAATAATAATTTCGGGCAGAAATAGATTAAAATCTTCAAGAATTAAAATCATTGGATAAAATTGAGATAAACAGAAAGTGAATGAAAATTTACTTATTGGTGGGTGAAACATATTAGCCAATTTAAAAATAAATATTTTGAAAAATGGAAAATTTGTGTAAAAATAAAACAAATACGATTGATTTAATGATTAAGAAACACAAATCAAATCTGTTTACATTCCTGAAATATTGAATTTAAGTTCTAGACTAAAATGTAATCTTATTAAAAAGATCATACGGATTGGAGTTAGCTGTAATTTAACCGATGTAATTATTAAATTGGTGCTTGTATATTTTATATAAACTATCAATACTTTTAATATCATTTCTAACATTTGGCGTATTCAAATCGTGTGTTAAATATATAAAAAGATAATAGTAATAATAAACCTAACCCTTTTCATAACCTATACTTCAATATTGCTTAAAGGGATCATAACCTATACTTCAATATTGCTTAAAGGGATCATAACCTATACTTCAATATTTCTTAAAGGGATCATAACCCTGTACTGACCTGTACATATATATCAGAATCTACAGCTACTGCAGGTATAGAGGGTTGCACTGTACTGACCTGTACATATATATCAGGATCTACAGCTACAACAGGTATATGGAGAGGGTTAAGAGCTGAACCAGCAGATACAACTTCATCTGTAGAACCTATTCCAATCAGCCCTGGAAAAAATGTGATTTTTGGAAAAATTACAAAACAGATAGATTTGTAGATTTTTCTCGCTCTGTCGGATTAAATTCCGATTCAAAACAATTAAAATGCTAAGGAGATATCTGGAAAATATCGACTATCCAGATTATGTTCTTATAAGTTTTGAAGTGAGAGAATCAAATTTGTCCGTTCTCCAAAACTCATGAAGGAGACATTATTGGGTTTAGTGTTAGGTTATGAGAAACAGAACATAAATATATATATTCTAATTTAAAATACATTTTTATCTTGTCTTTTTGATCAATGCTAAGAGAATAGTTTTTGCGAGAAATAAAATTTGCATTGGTTCTTTTTTCAAAACCAGTCTAACTTTTTTTTCAACATATTTTGAATACAAAACAGTGTTAAAAAGGTCCATGAAAATTATGAAATCACGAAAAGGATGAAAAAAATTAGTCAAAAAGATTTATTCAAGATGTATTGATTGATTGATTGGTTGACAGGATAGTTTAGAATTTCACATGTTTTCTCTCTAAATATGTTTAAAATATGGTAAACCCCTCAATACTGCTGTATACTGCTGACACCTGACAGCTCAGCTGTATATAAGCTTTACACCCAGCTAATGTATATTTATACAGGGTGATCCAAAAAAAAGTGTTAACAGGGGCCTGAAATCCTGCACAAACACTCAATGTACATAATTTTTCATTGTTTTTGTAATATTTAAAAAAGATTTGGTGGCTAAAAATCAATATTAACACTTTTTTTGCGTCACCCTGTTTTAAAAATATATTTAGGAATAAAATGATGCAATCTTAGATATATTTGGAGAGGAGAAGTGAAGAAGATGTATCAATGAAGATCTATCCATCAACACACACACCCCCCGCACAACACCCCATTCCCCCCCACTCCTCACATAAACTTACCGATAAGATGGTTTAACCCTGGACCTCCCTCCACCAGATCAATGAGGAAATCCTTCTCTAGGGGCTGGGAACAGGCATCTTGGATACCCAGACCTAAAGGGTTTAATAAAATGAATACAGTTAACTCTTATGTTTTGAGGGACCTACTGTACCATCTACTATTCATGTATATTCAATAACGTTAAAACGACTGCCCGGAAAGACCCAAATGACCCTTTTTTTGTAGTGTGGCATGTCTAATTTACAAAGGTACCTTTTAACCCTTTGTCTGATCATGTATATTCTACCTCATCCTCGCTCAAACTAAGAAATATAGTTGTGAATCGGACATGCCACTCTACAAATAAAGGGCAACTAGAATTAACGTTTACAGTCTTATTTATTAACTCTACTTTTATTCCCCCTCCCCCTTCTTGACTATAAAGTATACTTAGATAGATTTGNAAGAAGAGGTATATCACATTAATAACATTCGTATCAACAGTTTCTCAGAAAAAGAATTTCAAACTGAAAGGTTGGCGTTATTTTTCATGTGGTTATTTTTGAAACATAAAGTATTGAAAAATTACATTTTACAGAATTTCAATGAAACAGTTTCTTAGAAAAAGAATTTCAAACTGACATGTTTTGTCATTAGTTCATGAATCGTGTGCTCTTCCTATTAATTTGAATGGGAATGCATGCTAGCTTGCTTACTCGACATAATTTAAAGAATTATATAATATACCGCTAACCCTCTCTCATCCTTCTCTTCCGTAATCTGTACCTCTCATGACTTGGCATTTAAGATATATTTTTTTACAAAGAATTAGAGTAACAATTTGTACAATAATTATTCAATTCTTCTGAGAAGCTACTGTACCTTTACCACTACCTACTACCTACTACCTTATACTACCTACTACCTACTACCTATTACCTACTACCTATTACCTACTACCTACCACCTACTACCTACTACCTACCACCTACTACCTACTACATATGTATACCTATTCTGAGCTCGTGCGGTAATGACTGATTATTAATAACCTCCAAGGCCCACTTTGCTGCCAGCATTTGCTGAACCGACTGAAAAAAAGACAAATTTCAATCGATAAATCAACGAAATTTCAATAAAAAAGTTAATCCGTTTGTAAATATGACCAAAGGAATTAAGTCTTTGCCGCAAACTCTGATTTTCTAATCACTATATCTTTGGAACCAAATGTTGCAGACCTTAGATATTAGATGTTAGATCAAGTAATCTGAGTTTGAAATATCTAAGGTTTACAACATCGTGTTCTAAAGATATTGTGGTTTAAATATTTGATTTTGTTCCAAAGACTCAATTCCTTTGCAATTAAATGAAAATATAATTAACTACTTTGACATTCAGGAAAAGAATAAAATTGGTAAAAACTGAAAATACCTCCACATTAATTTGACCGCATTGTTGATCACTTCCCTTTTCATGTAGATCGACAAGAACACCTGCAATACAATCATGTGTATTCTGTAATGGATTAATAGCGATAAATAGTTAAACCGCGTAGACTAATTTGAACCACTTTTCTTGCACACGAGGCTAAGCTAAAGAGAAGTGGTTCAACTAAGTCTTTGCACATATTTGATGTGATATAATGAGAATATGTGACGAAATGTCTTTGCTATGCTGGTTGAGGTTATGAATGATGAATAATGTGAGGTTTCCTGAAATTAGGTGAGTATCCCCAGTATATTTCCTGCTATTTTCATTTCTTTATCTACTTAATTCATCCAGCTATACTGCATTCATAGATTTTAGGACTTTAAACAAAATCATATTTTCTACACTGCATTGAATAGAAGCTTTATCTGGACAAATCGAAAACTGAAAAGTACAAATATGATGACATAGTTCCCCCTCAATATTTTATATTTTACTTTTGACTCTGGATTAGATGATTAGATGAAAGAAACATAGATTAAGCAAGTTCTAATAAAAAATGAGAACAGATTAACTTTAAAAAACTTTATAACCTTGTCTAGGTTTTTTGTTTAATTTACAAATTAAAAATTTAGATGAAAACGGAAAACTTACATAAAAAACTGACTGTTTAACACTAAATCTTTAATTTGGTTGTATTATGCATAAAATAACAAACAAAAAATAGAATTACATGCTTAAATGTATTCTGCATGTTCAAACTCGAATATCACTTTATTAATAACTATGAATTAACATATTTTAACACATATTATAAGATGATCAGTATCTTATTTTGTAACACCTAAATGTTCTAATATTATAGATATTTATTCTATTATCTAAGTTATCTAACCTATATTTACATCTCCTTGGAACCGTATAACCGTCTGTACTGGAACCAATACATGGAGTAGAACCAGAAACCAAGAGAACCAGGAGAACACGTCCATCCTTCTTAGGTTTATCCGTCCTCCTCCCTCCACTCCTCCTTCTTTCATCATGAAGAAGACGGACTTATGGAAAACTAAAAGAAAATATAATTATCATTTTTATAAAACATTTAGTAAGCATATAGCAAGAAATTAAGTACAAATTCAATTAAAAATTATCACTAACGAATACGATTACTACTGCATCTAAGAAATGGCGGTGGAGATAAAGATTACCGACAAAAAAAAAAAAAAAAATATTACGTTTCGCGCCCGATAAAAAGTACTCCTCTCACACCATTAGCACACAAAGATGAAAGAAAAAACAATTTTCCCGAGCTGTAAAGCTAAGGTTGTAGAATGGTTAATGATTTAAAACTATACATATGGTCATAAATATGTATGCAGTGAGAACAGTGCTGCTGGGATGCACATTGCCCGGAGCACTTTTAATTTTAGCAGCACAAACTAACCATGCTTATAAACCCAAACCAAAATACATAATGACCTAAAAGATTTATTTATCTATCGATTCATAAATCTATTTAATTTTCCACGGTATAGGTTCTAGTATAATAATCTATTAAGTAATAAATTAATTCATTCATTTATTCATTTATTCATTCATCAGCCTTTGGAAAAGGACTGTGCAAGATATAAATGACAATTGATGAACCTTAAAAATATTTATTAATGAGACTATATTCGAAATTTCAAGTGCAGACCCTTCATTGACTATATCTAGATAACTGGATTGTGCCAAAAAAATTCAATTGTTTGCAAATTTGAAAATTCATTTGCAGATTCTAAAAGTAGAGCATGAGAGCTTTCCAATAATGTACATGTGTCATATATGGACATTAAACGTGGGATTTAGAGGTTTATCGAGGTTTTCAAGTACCCATGCACCAGAGATAGGGTTTATCGTGGTTTTCAAGTACCCCTGCACCAGAGATAGGGTTTATCGTGGTTTTCAAGTACCCCTGCACAAGAGATAGGGTTAAGCTATCCAAAAAGACAATATCGTCTAATTTATATACTCTACATATCTGTGTCTATCTGCTTATCTATATACTCTAAGGGTCTGTGTCTATCTGCTCATCTTCATACTCTATGGATCGGTGTCTATCTTCTAATCTATTTTTGCATCACACTGTTTTCTGCATGGTCTCTTGAACGATCAATCTTTAAAGCTGCGCACCTCCATAATTTTCCTCCGTCAGAGTTTAGAATCAATCTCTTTTATTTCCCTGGTTCATAATCATTCATATTTATGCTTCAAGGGGTAGATTATCTATGCTCCTACGCAAACCACATTGCGGACGCACATTTTTTTTATATACGCGTGTACGCATTAGCGTTGACGCATCTGTGTTTCTTAAAACCTCTAAGATTAATGAGCGTGTTTTGCCCCGGGATAACTGAATAAGGAAACAAGTTGGAGATAAAAATATAGAAATAAATGCTCTCGGAGCTAAAGAGTTTTGTATCCAGGATATCTTTATTCAATTTATCCTGGATATCTTCATTCCATATATCATGAATCTCTTTTTTGTTTATACAATATATCCTGAATATCTTTATACAATATATCCTGAATATCTTTATACAATATATCATGAATCTCTTTTTAGTTTATGCAATATATCCTGAATATCTTTATACAATATATCCTGGATATCTTTATACAATATATCCTGAATATCTCTATACAATATATCATGAATCTCTTTTTAGTTTATACAATATATCCTGAATATCTAATATATATGAGCTGTAAACCATTTTTTCCTTATTTGTGTATTTCTATTTAGAATTCTAAATTTTTCTCTTCTCTCATTCTTTGCAGCATCAAAACCAAAAATCTACTTCAATGCCAAAATATAGATTCAATGCCTTCGTATTTTTTATTTTCAACAAAGCCATTATTTTGTTCTGTCTCATCTCATCTCTAACCACCCCCTCTCACATCCTTGTAATGCTAAACTGTACAGCTGAGTCTACATGTTCAGTGCAGAGCACACACTTTAATCTCAAATTATTGCAAGAATATGAATTTGACATTCTGATTTTAAACAAGAAATATAAGTGTAGATATGTATATCAGATTCATGGGCGGAAGATGGGGAGAACCCCAAACCCCCCCCCCTCCCACCTTCCTTCCTACATTCAAAGAGTTGAAAAATTGAGATTTTATTTCTTCTTGACAAATAAAGAATATACGAAAATGTTTGCTCTTCATACAAATATGTCACATCGAAAATTGTATTTCAAAAAGAAAATTAAAAGAATGTCTCAAAACTTAATCTGAGAAACTTTGGTTTTATCATTTCGTTTTTATTGTTTTTATTATTTTAAATTTTTCATGGTTTTCAAAACCTAAACCAAATCTTAATTTCAGTCTAAAGAACTAAAATTATAATTTCAAAAGTTCAACTTAGAAACTTTATGGTTTTTTTACACAGTTCAACCCTATTTCTATCGTTGTTATATTTTGTAAATATGAATTTAAAATAAAAATGCAACAAGCTACGTTACAAAAATGTAGGCACCAATGAAAAATCCGGCGACACTTTTAAGTTGACCTGGTCTCGACATGAAATGGCGTATAATTAGATTAAAATAATCTAATAGTCTAAACATTAAAATTATTATTTTAAACCGTTCTTTTTCTAAAATATGTCCGTGGGATTTAAATTAACATAAAACTCACAGAATCATAAAACATTCATTAATTAGATACATTTATTAAATACATATTAATAATTACAGGAACCACTGTACCCTCCTGGACAATTATGTTGCCATAAATGCAAATATTAATGCGTAAGCTGCGTATGTGTGCGTAAGCCTGGGAATTTACGCAAAATTTTTCCCGGGCTTCTTGTTGGAATAGAGGAGATCTATAATAATATTGAATAACCATTTTAATCTATAGTATTTAAATTTGTACATGAAACCACAAATTCCCGGTAGTAAAGTGGGGGAAGGGGGGGGGGTTTGTGAATAAAATTTGACCATTGCAAGGGATCAATCAACATTAGGGAAAGAGTAAATTTATGGCAGAGGGGGGGGGAAGGGGGGAAAGTGTTATCAATAATTTTTTTTAAATACTTATTTTAGAAATCTTAACACATGTGTGAAACTGTTGATTTGCTGGGAAAAAAATCATTAAAATGAAAAATAAAGAATCGGTAAAACCTTAGTGAGTGTCTAAACTGGTTTCGAACAATTTTTTTTAAATTTTCAGAACCGGGGCCAGTCAACAGAAGAAAAAGAAATAAAGGACAGAATGATGACAAGAAAAATGATAAATTAGAATTTTTCTGTGTTAACTGAATCCAAATTAAAAATTCTCCTGTATACGCCTAGCTAATGGTGAATATTCAACCCATGAAATTATGCACTGAGGATTGAATAGGATTATGGTGACTCATCCCTTGGAAGAAAACAGGGTCAGAAGAGCAACTAGAATATGCGAATATTAAACCAAATTAATCAGATATTCCATGTTTTCCAAGATTCATTCCGTTCTTCAAAGAGAAAAAAACCTAGAATTACATTTTTTATTTTGTACAGGGTGAACCAGAAAAACGGGCTAATATTTATTTTTTCCCCTTTTTAAGAATCTAAATTCTGAGCTTTTGGTCGCATTAAGGGTTACAAAAACGCAAATTGTCCATTTTCAGAGACATCCTGTATAATGAGTATATTTTTTATATAGAGTTCAAGATTTAAGTCAACATTGTATCAAAATACAAGAGTTTGTGCACAAAATTTAAAGGAAATATTGTGATTAAAGATTTTTTTAAATAGAATATTACAAGTTCACATTTTACCTTTTATTTCACAATATTGAAACAATTTAATACGTATTGCAGTGCAAATATTGAAAATTAATTTACTCACAATTTGGAGAAAACAGATTCTAAACACTATTGTCTGACCAATATCCCTAAGAGGTTGGGTACTGGGTACTATGGAAGCTTTATCGTATTTCGAGTGTCAACCCAAAAGAGTTAAAATTTAAGATTACACTTAGTAATGTTTCATCCTTTCTGGTTTAACTTATTAAATGAAAACACAGTCAAATTTATCCTCTCAGGTTAAAAATTACACGACAAAAAAGACAACTCAGTAATCATTTATCCGTTCTGAGAGCCAACTGAGTGTTTATTTTTTAATAAATAGAATTGAAAGAATCCAAAGAGGAGAGAAGAATGGGATCCTTGTTGTTTTAAAATGACGAGTTTAAACTCCAACTCCAATGGATCCTTGATTTTGAACAAAATCATGGTTTAAACTGTCATGAAGTATCCTTCCAACCCCTTTCTTTAACTCTCAAACTCTTTATATCATTTTAAAGGGACTGTCTATTTAGAGCACTGTTGATTATTAATTAAGCAAGAGTAAAGATGGTAGACTTTCAGACTTCTACAGCAAAGACATGGAAGAAAATTGCCAAACTTTCCAGTTTTAAATAAGATAGACATATGGCAGTGATTTGTGTATCTAAAGAGACACTTATAAAATATCGTTGTCAATCCCTTACAGACCTTCAAACCTTTAATCCTCTCCACTTTTAGAAATTCCTTTTTTTCATAATCATTATTCTGGATATAAAAGAATTCATTCCATAATGTGGAGCCACACCCTTGCAAAAAATACAATATATAACCTTGATGTAACGAAGAAGCGCCAAGGAAAATATGTCGCTGGGTTTCAGAGTTTAAGGGTTTTGCGTACATACACCCTTACGCACAAAATATGAGACTTTAGAGATGAATTAACGGAATTTACTACACGGACTGTCAGTGTAGTTTCAACAGTAGCCTGGACACATATCTTTTAAGGGAACCATCTTTTGTATTTCCTTCTTTCTTACCCATATCTCAAGTCTGGATAACCCTGTATATTTGAGATGTGATTATTTGCGCCCCTTGTTGCCCATTGACGCAGAGAGTTTAACAAATTGCAGAATACTTCTTGTTTTAACTATTTATACTGGTAGAGGGACTAGGGACTAGGGACAAAGAACTAGGGTGTGAAAGGAAATGCAAATTAATGAATTTATTAGATTACACGTAAAACAATGTTGTTCTTGTTTGACTTGTAAAAGCAAGGTCGTATTTTTCGAAAACGGCATTTCCGTACATTTCGGAAACTGTTACTAAAATCACCAGGAAAAGACACAGAATTTTTGTTACAAACTTAAATTATCTTATCCCTACATTTATGCAACCTGATGGTGCAAACTTTAAACTTAGACTTTTTTATCTGACCAATTAATTTCATAGTTTGAAATATGAAAGGACTAAGAAATCGGGTTGCAAAGATAAAGGGATTGACAAATTTAAGTTTGTGATTTTCTTAATTTTTTGTTAAATAATTTGAGAAGAAAATTTGATGTAAAAAAAACTAAAGTTATTGCTAGGAGGGGGCTCAAATCTCCTTAGTAGTTTATACTATATGTATGTATATGTTTATGTAAATTTACAGGCCACCTGTTTGGTGAAAAGTAACCCTTGTAAACCTGTAATTACATTTTAACTAATACCAAAACTTTTAAAAAGAAGGCAATCCGTCAGTATTTACAGTGTATGTATACAACCACAAATTTTGCAATGTAAAACCTAAATACTTAAATTACGCAGCGATTTCAAACAATTTCTCCGCTGATAAATCACGTCCAGTCAAGAAAAGTTCTGGTGAGTTTAACGGACTAAAGAAATATATCGTAAAATATCAAATATGTGTGTGAGGTAATTTCTGTTCTCAGGTTTACGTAAATTTAATAATGATACGTAAACATATTTGCATAAATATACTAAAGACATTTTTAATTGTTTATTCAGCCGTTTGTCTATTTTGGTAATTCATAAATGTTCGTACTTGAATTAACTACTATTGGAGTATACAATGTAATTGTATGTATATTAAGAAAATACCCTGTTTCTCAGTCATAATTCTTGTTAACTATGTAAAAATTGTGCAGCGCTTCGCACTTTTCACTGTCTTCTTACCTATATTCTTTGATCCACATCTCTCATTAAGTTTCTTTTAATTCATAAATTGATTTGAATAAAAAATTACATTTTACTCTGAAATTAGAGAAAAAAAAATTATAAAATAATCATTTTCGGAAAAGAAAACCATTTATAATTAATTCAAAAGACTATCAAAACAAAAATGTGATCCCTCTTTTAAATTTTTCTGTAAGATCTTGAAGTTTAAAGAATTGAATGATGAAAATAATAATAATACTAACGAGGAATTGCGAATTAAGTATAATTGAAATAATTACAAAAAAAAATGTTTCAGGGTTCAGTTTGACATGCTCACGGAGAAGACTAGATTTAAAAGATAAACTGGATATCATGATTTCATGAATAGGATAAGTAGGGTAAATGCGATAAATACATCGGATGAGTAGGATGAGTAGGATAAGTAGGATGAGTAGGATGAGTTGGATGAGTAGGATGAGAAGGATGAGTAGGATGAGAAGGATGAGTAGGATGAGTAGGATGAGTAGGATGAGTAGGATGAGTAGGATGAGTAGGATGAGTAGGATCATTAGGATTAGTAGGATGAGTAGGATGATTACAATGAGTAAACGAAGAGTAGGGTGAGTAGGAGGAGCAGGAGGAGTAGGAGGAGTAGGAGGAGTAGGATATTTAGGACAAATAGGATGATTAGGATGTGTAGGATGAGTAGGATGAGTAGGATGTGTAGGATGAGTGAGTAGAATGAGTAGGAGTAGTAGGATGAGTAGGATGAGTAGGATGAGAAGGATGAGTAGGATGAGTAGAATCATTAGGATTACTAGGATGAGTAGGATGAGTAGAATAAGTAGGATGAGTTGGATGAGAAGAATGAGAAGGATTGGTAGGATGAGTAGGATCATTAGGATTAGTAGGATGAGTAGGATGAGTAAAATAAGTAATATCTAATATCTAATATCTAATATCTAATATCTAATATCTAAATATTTTGGGGGGACCTCTGGGGTCACAGATAATGGGCAGCAACAATATGAAAAAACTATGGCGGCTTCAAAAAACTAAAATATCGCAAAATATTTGAGTTTCATGTGGATGTGAAATGTCTAAAGAATGTTTATTTTACTCAATAAATCCATTTTGAGGTCCAGAAAATGCATTGTGACTAATTTGTTGGACTTAAGATGGTCATTGCGGCTTCAGGTTTCAGAAATTCATTATTTTTTGGGTAAATAATATCATTAAATCAATTCTTCCTAAATTTGATATGGAACAGGGTTGGGAGAGGGGGGATCTGTGGATTCCTAGTACGCAAAAAGTACATTCTAAACTTGTTCAGAATTATTAATAGACATTTTTTTACCAAAGAAATGGATTTCTGAGGCCTGACGCCGCCATTATCATCAATGATTCTAAAACGCATATTTTGACCTCAAACATGGATTTAAAATTATCACTTGAAGCCATTTCAAATAGAGGACGCATTTTCCACAGTAACAATTTTTGGGGAAGGGGGACATGTCAAAAAATAAAAATAAACTTTTTTAACCTCATCAACAACTGAACAGCTGGAATTCAATCCAACTTTTTAAATTTGTGATTCATTAAAAAAACTTTTTCAAATTCTTAGTCTTTATTTGTTTCATGGATTTATTTTGTACGAAAAATATTATGGTTCAGATCGCAGGAATTAAAAAGTTAAATACCATCATTTAGGTCGCATTTTTGGCGGGTAACCCTTTACTACATACTTAATATATGTATAAATCTATTAAAAAAGGTTAAGGAAGAAGAAATCTAACAAAAATCAGCTTTGACAAAAAGTAAAAAATTTTAATAAGAAAATATTTTTAGGGTTAATTCATACAAGTTTATCTCACTGAGCCCAAAAATGTGAAATCAATCTCTCATTAGTAAAGATAAATGCATGATTGCTTACCTTTGAAAGAGTCCAATTTGAGTCATTAAGTGAAATGACAGGCTTACGTCAATTTTTAAGAATAAGGGATTTCAAAGAGTAGATTTTTTTTTAATTCTTAGCAGTTCTTTTTAAAGATTTACAACTTTACCTTTAAAACTTACTAAAACAACAGAGTTGAAAGTTGATAAAGTAAAAATTATTTTACATCTGTAGATACATTTATCAACTAATTATATTGTTATCACTATGCACTCGACTCCTGGCTTTTAGCTTATTCTTTAAACATTATAAACCTGTTTACCCTTTTATAGTTCACTGTTATTTTAACAAGTAATTTAATCATATTAAAGCAATATTTTCTTTCAAATATTAAGCTCAATTCGTAAATAATAATTTGTAATAAAAAGGTAAATTTTATATAGAAATATGATATCACGTGTATTTGTTGACCGGGTGGGATTGAATTGTTAACTGGAAGATGCGTAGATGCGTATGAAGATGGTGTGCGTTGAATAGGAAAATAGATCGTAAGAATCTTTCATTATAAATTTGTAAACCCTGTAATAATTATTTATCATCATTCATTTCGTTATTTTTTTAGGAAATAAAGAGTTTTCTGCATTATCGATTTTGATTCGTGGGTTATACCTTGTCTAACTGTTCATCGTCAGAATCTTGTTCCTTAGCGACAACAATTTACCTAAATTTAATCTTAGTTTACAACATTTCCTGTAATATTTAATTCGACTCGTATGTAAGAAAATCAACAATCACGAAAAACATTTTACTTTTAGCTAAATAATTTTTTTTTACAGTTTCTTAGGATTATGCTGAATATTTAGTTTTAACAACTTCAGTTAAACTTGGTTCAGAGAGTTGAACTACTTTTCAATAGTTGAACTTGGTACGGATAGTTGAAATACTTTTCAAGGCTTAAACTTGGTTCAAAGGGTTGAACTACTTCTCAATATTTGAACTTGATACGGAGAGTTGAACTACTACTCAATTATTGAACTTGGTACGGATAGCTGAACTACTTCTCAAGAATTGAGCTTGGTACGGATAGTTGAACTACTTCTCAAGTATTGAACTTGGTACGGATAGTTGAACTACTACTCAAGAGTTGAACTTAGTACGGAGAGTTGAACCATTTCTCAAGTATTGAACTTGGTACAGATAGTTGAACTACTACTCAAGAGTTGAACTTGGTAAAGATAGTTGAACTACTACTCAAGAGTTGAACTTAGTACGGAAAGTTATACTACTACTCAAGAGTTGAGCTTGGTACGGATAGTTGAACTACTACTCAAGAGTTGAACTTGGTACGGATAGTTGAACTACTACTCAAGAGTTGAACTTGGTAGGGAAAGTTGAACTACTTCTCAAGTGTTGAACTTGGTACGGACAGTTGAACTACTACTCAAGAGTTGAGCTTGGTACGGATAGTTGAACTACTACTCAAGAGTTGAACTTGGTACGGAACTACTCAAGAGTTGAACTTGGTAGGGAAAGTTGAACTACTTCTCAAGTGTTGAACTTGGTACGGACAGTTGAACTACTACTCAAGAGTTGAGCTTGGTACGGATAGTTGAACTACTACTCAAGAGTTGAACTTGGTACGGAAAGTTGAACTACTTCTCAAGAGTTGAACTTTGTACGGAGAGTTGAACCACTACTCAAGAGTTGAACTTGGTAGGGAAAGTTGAACTACTTCTCAAGTGTTGAACTTGGTACGGACAGTTGAACTACTACTCAAGAGTTGAGCTTGGTACGGATAGTTGAACTAATTCTCAAGTGTTGAACTTGGTACGGAAAGTTGAACTACTACTCAAGAGTTGAGACTTGGTACGGAAAGTTGAACTACTACTCAAGAGTTGAACTTGGTACGGAAAGTTGAACTACTACTCAATAGTTGAACTTGGTACGGATAGTTGAACTAATTCTCAAGTGTTGAACTTGGTACGGAAAGTTGAACTACTACTCAAGAGTTGAGCTTGGTACGGATAGTTGAACTACTACTCTATATTCTTTAAATTTGAAACATCCTGGCCCTGCTCCCCCATAGTTAGAAAATATATGATGAGAACTCTCCGTTTCATGGTCTCTTAATAATTATCATATCTGTCCATCTACAGATCTAATATGCTTCAGGAAACAGGCCTTTTTCGGCTCATCTCAGATAACAGATCTTCATTTGTATTCTGCATTCTGTATTCTGTATTCTGTATTCTGCATTCTGTATTCTGTATTCTGTATTCTGTATTCTGTATTCTGTATTCTGTATTCTGTATTCTATATTCTGTATTCTGTAGTCTGTAGTCTGTATTCTGTATTTTGTATTCTGTATTCTGTATTCTGTATTCTGTACTTGTATTCTAGAATCATTTTAAAGCTACCTCTCCCGTACGCATAAAGGCAACACTTCTGGTTCTGTTTTATATCAAAATTGTTGATAATATCTGGAACTATTTTAAACTAAACAGTTTTTCACCTTATTCACCTTCACCGCATCAAAACTAAATGATTACCAAAGATGAAACAGAAAAGAATCACGTACAGGGCTAGACAAGAAATAATAGTAATATAATGATGAAGGTTTAGAGACAGAAATATGTTATGCAAATTAAGAAATACAAAATTTCAGTACTTTTGAAAATACATAATAGGCAGACAACATTTTGATATGCCCAGAATTGGAGTATTTTATCGAGTAATTGAATGTTTAAATTGTCAAGCAACTGATTTTTTGGCACAACCTGTTTTGTACTGCAATCCTTGGTAAGAACAGGTTTTGTACTGCAATCCTTGGTAAGAACAGGTTTTGTACTGCAATTCTTGGTAAGAACAGGTTTTGAAAGAAAACCCTTAAAGCAGCATAGATAATTTGTTGTGCCATTTTACAAGTTACCATTTTAACGAAAGTAAATATAATCTTTTATTAAATACTATATGTGTACAATGCTACACAGTGAGAACCAATTAGTTTTATTTTCTTGTTTTGTTTAATAACTTATTTATTTTATATCACTAATTTTCATAAACACAAGATAAAATACTAAAATATCTACATATATATAATATATGAGACCCAAATAGTTTCACCAGTATCGTACAAATCAATTAATTTAAATGGATCTGTGCACACTGCACAATTGTAACAAGTTAGTTAGACTTTTTATAACTAAAACTCTACTCTTACAGTTTTCCTCCTTTCCCAGATTTTTACGGGTCTTAGTGTATTTCAAAATAAAAATAATTTCCATTTAAAATTAGAAGAAATGTCAAAATAATTGTAAACCCTGCATTAAGGTTTAATGAGCTAGTAAACATGAGGTAAATGGATGACGTTGCAGAAATATTTCAGAATTTCATTCAATTCTTTTTGAGAAAACCAGGCAACCAATAAATTAAACCTCTCATCTTCATCTCAAATTATAAAATCGTGACAAAATGTTGATTTTTATCTAAAATTTGAACGTCATTTCAGGCAGAGTTAAAAAATATATTGAGGACATAAAAAATCTATTTATTCATCCATTAGAATGAATTGCACAAATCATACTTTATCCCTACTGGGGGAGGATATATGACGTAAGAAGGGGGGGTGCTTATGAGCTAGGAGGCTAGGGGTGAAATTTGATGGTAAATAGGAATTGGAAAAGGTGTGGTTTTTACATTGAATTGGAAGGACTAGAATAATTGCACTTCGTAGCAACATCATGAAGAAAACATTGAACAATTATGGAACTATAGTTTGGAGTATTTGTGATCTTAAAAAAAGTTTGTAACTTGGAATCAAATACATGCAATGGGTCAACATTTCACTGATAAAATTAGGAAGAAAATGCTAGGAAAAGTTAACAATTTTTTTCATTCCTATCATACGCTTCGTAGTTTAGAACAAATTGTTCGTAATTATAAAAGGGTTTTAACAGTGGGAAAAAGATTAAAAAACTTAATATGTATAAAAAGCGTCTTCGGACTTTTCGACAGATAACCCCCGGAATAGGAAAATAGATCGTAAGAATCTTTCATTATAAATTTGTAAACCCTGTAATAATTATTTATCATCATTCATTTCGTTATTTTTTTAGGAAATNAGGGGGGTATGAATAATTTATAAATGAGGAGAATGACTAGTTTGAGTGTGAATGAATGAGCTTCTATATGAACCCTGGATTGTCTCCTGAAGGAAAATTAAACCAAGGCTAAAACTAAAGGTTAAAGGAAGTGAGGGAATGAACCACAGATCATTTACAAGTTTATAGTTCCATCTTAGGAGGATGTGTAAACACGGGAGCATGTCTGGTCTATTTACAGTGAGACCCATTAAACTATGGATAAGGAAGACGACTTTCAGACACAAGTTATTATTTTAAACAGTTGAATGCACAATTCTAGACAAGAAATAATAGTAATATAATGATGAAGGTTTAGAGACAGAAATATGTTATGCAAATTAAGAAATACAAAATTGCAGTACTTTTGAAAATACATAATAGGCAGACAACATTTTGATATGCCCAGAATTGGAGTATTTTATCGAGTAATTGAATGTTTAAATTGTCAAGCTTGTCTGGTCTATTTACAGTGAGACCCATTAAACTATGGATAAGGAAGACGACTTTCAGACACAAGTTATTATTTTAAACAGTTGAATGCACAATTGTGAAGTGACCACAGATCAATTTCCTGAAAAATGCTGACGTTCAAGTTACTGATAAAATTATTTGCTTTCAACAACATCTAATACACACAAATACACATAGACTGTTTAAACGTCGTCTTCCTAATACACAGTTTTATGGGTTTTACTATGTTTATATGTAAATATGTGTTTCAATATGTTTTTATTCCTTGGTTACACTTGATGTGCCCACTGCACTGCCCAGCTTGTTAAAAATAATGACGCCCCTAAACTCTCTTGTTATCGTGAACATAAAAAATTCGCAACTTTCAAGTCATTATTGGTTCCTTACTTTTCAGTTTCTACAGGGGGGGCAGGATAATAAGAAAAATGGACTGTCTTTGTAATTTAATTAACTGCCCGATTCGCAACAGTTTTATTTAAGCACTAGCTGAAGTGCCCGGCGTTGCCCGAGGATTTACAAAATTACAAATTACAAAAAAAATTCCGATTGTTTTAGAAAAAAAATTCGATTTTTCAAAAAATTGATTTTTGAAAGAAAAACAAAGAAAATGTTTTTTAGCTTATTTCACCCCCAGGCTACCCACGAGTGTCCACAAAAATGCCAGACCATTCGGACCAGCCGTTTGGCCGGCTATAGGGAACATATATACGAATGTCTTTTTTATTATATAGAAGATTTATCTCCGTAACAATAGAGAAAAATATCGTAGATTTTCTAAATAAAAAGAGATAAAGTTTCTAAAATAGAGTATTTGTCTCTTCTTCTTGATAAACCCAAATATCATTTTCAAAGTAAAACTGCAAGGGAAAAATGTGTATTTAGAAGAATAAAAATATATTCCTCATTTTTATTTAGTAATACATGCTCGCCCAGTGCATGTTCGCCCAGTACATGTTCGCCCAGTACATGTTCGCCTACTTCAAGCTAGTTCGCCCAGTGCATGTTTGCTTAGTACATGTTCGCCTAATACATGCTCGCCAGTACATGCTTGCCCATTGCATGTTCGCCCAGTACATGTTCGCCTAATACATGCTCGCCCAGTACATGCTCGCCCATTGCATGTTCACCCAGTACATGTTCGCCTAATACAAGTTCGCCCAGTGCATGTTCGCCCAGTACATGTTCGCCTACTACATGATCGCTTGAAATACATTCTATGTTCACACAGTTAACCGATTTTTTATTATAACATTTTAATATAGATCTTTGAACCTGATATTTTTTTATATTTTAAATCATGAAATCTGATGGCTTAAATAGTACAAATTTTACACCTTCAGATTAAAAATATAAAGTTATTAGAAAATGAAAGTTTGAGGCAAGTGAAAAGTTTCTTTCAAAGATTTTTTTCTCTTTAAACCCCAATTTGATTTGAGGATGCAAGGCTCCAAATTAAATGCTTGTAAGATAGATTATCGCATTGAAACTATTATACCTTGAAACCATGAGGAACGTGTAGCTATAGTAGAAGGATACTCTTCATTACCTTCATGTCTTAAAATATAATAATTTGTCTTAATGCTATAACGTCAAACTTATTCTCGTATTCAAGTTAACAGATTAAAAAAACAATAATGCAATCATACTGAATAAGTTTATGATTTTAGGTCTTACTTATAAAAGTTTGATTTTCAATGCTAGGAAGAAAACGTATAAAAAAGATCTAAAATGTCGTATTCCGTTCAAAAAACATTTTTAATTTTGATGTTTTATATGCGACATAAGTGTTGGGTTTAAAGATATTAACGATTTCAATAATAAACAATATCAATTGTTAACAATATTGACAGTACAAAGGGCGTTGAACAACGTTTAATGTTTAGAATCCATCTTTTTCCGCTCTACCATTGCTTTTTTGACCTTTGCTTTTCTACTTATTCTACAGATCCTAATTGCCGTTTGTTAGGTTTAGTGTATTCATTTTGTGGTTTTTCTTTCCCCAGGATTCTAGGGGGGGGTATTTACCCCCAGGATTCTAGGGGGGGGTAAATAACCCCAATAACCCCCCTTATATCCGCCACTGACTTGCACTAGATGTTTATAAATATCCATATCTAACTTTAATCTACCATTCTAAACTTTAACGTTATTATAGATTATAGTATCTCGCTATCTATAGCTAGCTAGTATCTCTCTTTCTTTCTTCTTTGATTATTTGTCTTTCTTTTCAATTTTTTCTTACTTTTAATGTGTCCATCTATATTCCTATATATCTATCTATCTATCTATCTATCAATTTACCCTTCTATGCTTCTATTTATTTATCTATCCATTCATCTATCTATCTATCTGTTTATATCTATCTATCTGTTTATATATATCAATCAATCTATCCACCTATTTATCTATTCATCTATTCATCTATATATCTATCTATCTACAAGTTTGTTCTATCTTTAAGATAAATCTATGTATCTATCTATCTACAATTCTTCTAAATCTAACACTCTCAGATCCGTGAAACAAAAACTTTTTTTTGCCAAATTTTCGGTTTATTTAATCATCTTCAGGGGCATATTCTAAAAAGCATACAAATTTTCTATCTTTCTATCTATATATCTATAAATCTATCTGTATATATATTTATCTATCTATCTGAAAGTCTATTCTATCTTTAAATTGATAAATCTATGTATCTATATCGCCTTAATGTCTCCTACATTCTTAAATTGTAATTTTAGTTATTCTCCTCCATTTCTAGAAGGGTAAAACCAATTCCACGGTGGACTAAGCCAATGGGGTCGGTCAAACAGGCATAGGATTAGGCCGGGTACTGTAAAAAGTCTAAACGCGCATTGGGAGATGTCATAGTTAGCCCTCTGACGGGACTATGCCAAGAAAACTGACCCCGTTCGTATGTTAGACTAGAAAGGGCGACGTACTGTAGCATAGGATTGGGTCAGTACACGCTATTAGCTGGCAGGCCGGCCGGTACAAACTGGGCAGGTCCCGTTCGAATTCAAATTTACTACGGCCCAGAGTGATTCACAACGGTATCCTTTAAAACCTAATAATGTCGAAAATTCTGATAAATTTTCTCGTGTTTATGAAGCAAGAAATGCATGTCCTTTTTTGGTATTTTTCAATAATATATTTATCAAGTTTAAGATTTACTGTCACATACATTAAATAAGCTATATCACTTTAACAAGGACATATTATATAATCTCTCTTTTTAACAACACATTTTTAAATATTATTCCAGCCAGCAGGGTTCAGGGGTAGATTCAGGGCTACTCAGCATTATTTCTTTAATCAGAAATATCTAAAAATAGAAATATTTCCTCAAACTCTTGAAAGAATTGGTGTTTTTGTTCGACCTTAAATATGTGATCAAGTTCTTGTGCTGGTTGGAAACATTCTGCTTCCTGAAAGAATAAGAAATATATTACAGTGAGAACCAGAAAACTATGGAAAAGAAAGACGACAATAAAGTAGCATTAAGTGTGTAAGCAAAGCAAATTGTTTTAATAGTATATTTTTCATCTCTTTTAAAGTGTAATGGATCTGTTTACACTGCACAATTTATATGTCTCATGTACATTAAACTATTTAAAGCCATAACTCGCGTCTTAAAGTTGTCTTCCTCTTTCTGTTCCTCAAAGTAGATTAATTTTTGGTTCTAGTATTCTTTAATTTAGTGTTTATATTATATTATATCGATTTTGACAAATATTAAATAAAAATTTTAATTCTAATATTTTGTAGATATATATATACAAATGTAGTTCTATAGGATTTCAGGGTTCCTTTAATGTTTTGTATTTGGGCTTAAATCATGTTCGTAAGAGACTAGCAAAAATAATACTTATTTTCCTTTTCTTTTTCATGGATTTAATAACTTAACAAAATTGAAGGCAAAACTTTTATTTTGGCCCAGCATAAACTTCCCCCAGCATAAACTTTCCCCAGCATAAACTTTCCCCAGCATAAACTGTCCCCAATGCTTGAAATCAAAATCTTCGCAAACTTATTTTCTGAAAAAGTCTTTTTACATTTGATTCGTTTTTGAAAATTGGGATATTTCCAGGATGATGCTTCGGAAATAATGTAATCAGAATTAGATTATCATTATATTGATAAAGGAGTTGAGTCTAATTTTCTAATCCCTATATCTTTGCAAGGCAATTGTTGTATCACTCATAGTATGCCGAGTCCATTAGCGCCTGATCCAATCAGGGTTCAGCCATGTGTTTGGTGTCTATTCTGAACCAATAGAAATTGCTTGGCGGTAACGTCTATCTTTCTATCTAGCTCATTATTCAATTAGAGATAAATCCTTATATCGGCGATATAAGAGTAAATGGAATTATTAACTTCTATTGAAACTATGGTGGTATACCTATGAATCCTGTAAGATAAAATAATCTAAGTTTAAAATATCAAAAGTTTGCACCATCAGTTAGTAAAGAAGGAATTAGAATATTTAAGTTTGTGACAAAAAGTGAATTCCTCTACCTGATGATATCTTGCACATTACAGAGGTTTCCAGGGTTTCTGTTTAAACATACATCAAAGCTCAATTTATAACATTTAAAACTGTTAATTCTCTTGTATATTTCACTGAGAAAAACAAAATAAGAAAAAAATGCTCTGAACCCAAATATAATATTAAATAGACTGTTTTAAGTATTTGTGAAATGAAAATGAAAATTTCAAACTGTTCTATAATATGCTATATCTATAATATACAATCTATAATATGCTATATCTATAATTTCATTGACGCTCTGTAGCCAAAGGTGAAAAACTATGAAATCACAGTAACTTGTATCACAATGAGAGGAGTTTTGATTATACGAAGTACGATATGGAAGATTTAATAACGTGAAATTTACTTGAATTTTCGTTTGGTGTACGCCGTACGGATCCCTTGTTCTCAAATCCCTTGTCATTTGAGTATTTTTACAACAATAATTAAATGAAAACAAAGGGGCAATGCTGAATAACAATGGTATTTCAACAATAAAAAATACAATAAAAGTAAATTGTCTTTTTTTGTAATTTAACAAAAAATGACTTATTTATGTTTCCTGAGTGATTCTGCTAGACTACATCCTCTCAGCCTCCTATTATGAAAAATCCAAATATGTAAAAAAATGAGAATCAAAAATGTTTCATTACCTCTGAGCTTCATTATTGTTTGTCTCTAAACTACGTCCGTATCGGAGAATTGGAATCCGTTTCTACAATTTCAAATAGCAAATGGTTCCAATCTCATTTTTAAAGGGACTGTTGAGGAAAAATGAAAGGGGGTATAGGCTTAAACCTAAACCTAAATGAATTCTATCTGATGTTCCTGTCTCGAGAAATTGATATAAAACTGTGTCAACGTTATACTAAAACTCACATATATGAGATGTGGTATAGGAATCAAAGTTTGAGACAAATCATATTCAGCAAATACGCAAAGAATCTGAAAATTACACTAACCCAGAGGAGCCTAAACAGGTTCGTACGCTCCTATTAAACTTGAAAATGCTTTATGAGCAACTAGCAAGCCCTAAATTCAAAACGAAGTGGACAAAGTACCCCGCTCTAAATAAAAAAATTAGTGTTTAAAAATTTAAACCATTTTTATTTTCCTCTAAAACGTCGACACTACGTCCGAACCTCATAATGTTCATCTAAACATTATTCTATTTTATTTTATTTAAAAAAAAAGAAAAAATATTTAAAAAATACAGAAATGTGATAAATATAAACCTTTAAGAAATTTAGAAATTTGATAAATTTTAGAAAGCGTTGGCGTATTTTTAAATGACCCTTTATTGAAAATGTAAAATGTGATTGACAACAGCTGAATGTACCAGCTGAATGTACCAGCTGAATGTACCAGCTAAATGTATCAGCTAAATTTACCAGCTAAATGTACCAGCTGAATGTACCAGCTGAATGTACCAGCTAAATGTACCAGCTAAATGTACCAGCTAAATGTACCAGCTAAATGTACCAGCTGAATGTACCAGCTAAATGTACCAGCTAAATGTATCAGCTAAATGTATCAGCTAAATGTACCAGATAGATGTATTAAATCTTTTTTTGGAAACTAAAAGTGTAATAAAGGTGACTAGAATTGTGGATTTCAAGATCAATGCTTGATTTTTTCTTTTTATTTACTTTCAAGATTAATTTAATCTTGTGTTTGTATCAACAAAAGTGTACATAACACAACCAATCGAGTGGGGTTTAGAGAAACCAGAATAGCAAATTAGAGAAGCTGGGAAAATTTTGCGCCCAATTAAATGAATGTGAACTTTTTTTTGGTCGGAAACTGGCAGGGAAAAAAAAAAGAAATGGAGCGGATAAAGAAGAAAATTAAAAGTGTCCACATTGGATGTTCAGATTAAAGTCATCCAATCATAAAGTTTTCAGCTCAGAAGTAAGAATTTTGATTTTTTGAATCTCTTGATCAAGAATAGATCAGACCTAATGATTTATTCAATTCATGTTCGGTATCCCGCAATATTCCAATGTTCAAGATGAACAATATCCTGCAATATTCCAGTGTTCAAGATGAACAATATCCCGCAATATTCCAGTGTTCAAGATGAACAATATCATCACAAAAGTTCCAAATCAGAGCTGATAACTTCATGCAAGATGAGTTTTTAATTTTTTGGAATCATCGAAAATATGTGACATTGATTTCTCAAAGTTTTAAAAGCTAATCCAAACATTTGTTTTTACAAAATTTGTTGATGCAGAAATATATGTATATTGTATAACCTTAGGATCACTTCTTCCAAATCTCATAATATTCATCTAAACATTTTAACAAACAGTTCTATGTTTTTTTTAAGAATTTGGTTTTATTCACAATTTATATTATTTACCTTTGGGTCACTCCGTCCAAATCTCATAATATTCATCTAGGAAAAAACAAACATGAAAATATATTTAATTCTAAAGAATTCAATTTAGAATTTGAAATTATATTCATTCATAACGTTTAAAACTAGAAATACTTTTTGAAAAAAAAACTATCTAACAAAAATGTATAGAAAATGTATAGAAAATGTATAAAAAATGTATAGAAAATGTATAGAAAATGTATAGAAAATGTATAGAAAATGTATAGAAAATGTATAGAAAATGAATAGAAATTAATAGAAAATGTATTGAAAATGTATAGAAAATGTATAGAAAATGTACAGAAAATGTATAGAAAATGTATAGAAAATGTATAGAAAATGTATCTTCCTTTGGGTCGCTTCGTCCAAATCTCATAATGTTCATCTGAAGGTTTTAACAAAAATAAATATCTTTAAAAGCCTAATTTTTATATTTGTCTATACAAACGTAATTTTGATTTATCTTTTTAATTCCTTAGGATCATTTCGTCCAAATCTCATAATGTTCATCTAAAAAATACAAAAATGATAATAAAATATTGACATTTAATTTTAGATAATTTAAAAAATTGAGCATCGCATTTAATATATTTTTAGTTTACATTAATACCTTAGGATCGCTACGTCCAAACCTCATGATGTTCATCTTAAAAATTGATTTTTAAATTGAAAATTTAAAAATAAGTTTTTTTATCTAATGTAACTGAGTTATTGTCACAAACTCATTTTCTAATTCATTTATCTTTCATATATTTCCAACTATGAATTCTGTTAGATCCAATAATCTAAGAATTAAATTTCAGATAGCAAAGATTTGATGCTTTCTTGATTAATATTTTCAATGTTATACCTTAGGGTCGCTTTTTCCAAATCGCATAATGGGCATTGGGATCTAAAAATGATAAAAATAAAAAATAGCACGATAGAATTCCTTAAAGTTTTAGATGTTTTGATGACTATAAGTTTGGCAAATCTTCATTAAAAAATATATTACTTGAAAATTATATAAATTAGACTTATAAACTTAAATTAATTTCAAGTGGGCATCCTTTAAGACAGTACTCGATTCACAACAGTACCATTGATATCTTTTTCCGGACAATAAATGACGGGGATATATTTGTTTTTCTATCTTATAACTGATAACTTTCATTTGAAGTTGCGGATTTAATGCAGCGGAAACAAGGAAGTAAAAGATAAAACGTATCTCTTCTAAACATAAAAAAATTATATCTGATGTATTTCTTCTTATGTTCTTATCCATAGGTGTGCGGGACGACACTTAATATTGGAGTGTTATAGTGTTACAGTTCCTAGAAATTATGTATTTAACTCCCTTTAAAATAAAGTAAAAATACGATAACTAACCTCCAGTTGGTTCTCAGACCGTTTACCAAACCTCAATGGACTTCGCTAAATAACGATACAATTTTATATATTTTAGATATTGTATAGGTTGCCAGAAACTATATATTTTTAATATTGTATAGGTTGCCAGAAACTATATATTTTAAATATTGTATAGGTTGCCAGAAACTATATATTTTAAATATTGTATAGGTTGCCAGAAACTATATATTTTAAATATTGTATAGGTTGCCAGAAACTATATATTTTAAATATTGTATATATTGTATAGGTTGCCAATAACAAGTGCAAAAAAGAAGATCTTAACAATTCTAAAGCTTTTTGTAAGAAGTACTCAATGTGCTTCGACTATTTGATCTTTTTATATTTATTTGCATTATTTACGGATTGGCATTAAAACAATATTAATTGCATCATCCCTCAGAGCTCCTGCCGAACCTGAGAAGGATTTGAGATTTCCCCTCCTCCTCAACCTCATCTTCCTTCTTCCTAGTTCAACAATATAACGGAGTCAAACCTTGAAGAAATTCAACGTACAGAAACCGCTACGTAAAGCAACAAGGCGTATTTTCCGGGAGAACATTTTTTATATTTTTGAGAAATTAAATAATCAATGTAAGTAGATATAATTTTCATAAAATCCTTATATTTAAATGGTAAAACGTAATTTTATGAAATCATATAAAAATATAAAAAATGTTCTCCCGGAAAATACCCCTTGTTGCTATACGTAGATGTTTCTATACGTTGGATTTCTATAATGTTTGACTCCAATATAACTCTCAGGTCAGAACTTTTGAATAAAATGGAACTGATCTACAAATTCTTAAATTCAATATAATTATCTACAACTCAAACTTATAATTTGACAGGACAAAATGTCCAAAAAAATGTCATGTTTTCTCGATATTTTATTAGTCAAGAGCAAACTTTGCGCGGCTTCTGATTTGTCTAACACTTAAAGGAATTAACCTAATCCGATATAATGCGTCAAAAATGCATGTTTCTTAAATGGCTCGGTAGGACCAAGCCACAAAGTGAAATATGTTTTTTTATGACTTATCCCTTCCAGTTGAATAAAAATATAAATTTACCAATTTTTATAACTTTTCATGAAGTAACATGAAACGAAGTTGATTTCAAGTATAAAATGAAGTAAAAAACGCACAATATATGAATTAGAGGTAACACATTAGGTGCAAAGAGTAAAGGGGTCTATTGACTTCGATTTTTAATTAACTTTTTAGATAAGGTGCAATTTCTCTAAAGTATCTAATTTTCTCCGGATTAATTTTGAATTTTGATCCCAAAAGGGCTTACTGAGCTATCCCTTACTGAAGCTGTAAAGAATAATAATTCAATAAACCATTAACGAAAATAAATGGCAAAACTATTTTCTAATAAGTCTACTCCTTACATGGTTCACAGATATAGGTTTAACAGGTTGAGAGAAGTTTGCGGGACGATAGTTACAGGATTTCATAAATCTACAGATATAACCAGAAAATTCTGGAATAGGAAGTCGACATTTAGAGTCAAAATCAAATGCACTTCAGTATTGCTGTAATGTCGTCTTCCTATACAAAGGTGTAATGGGTATCGCTGTAAGGGTAACTTAAAATCACGCGCTAAACGTTTATGGAACTTTAAACCGGAAGTCGGAAGTATCCCTTTTTTATTTTGTTTTCTGACCTGAACTCCAGTTGGAAGCTGTTCCTCCTGTAGTACTATTCCTTGATCCCTTTCATCCACTAGATCCTCTACAGGATCCCTAGATTGATAGATATCAAATATGGGGGGGCCTCCGATGAAATATGGGAGGTTTGCAATTAAACATATATGGGTTGTCTCTGATGATAAATGAGAAGGTTTCCGATAAAATATAAATGGTTTTCGAAGAAGCAAATGGGTCTCCGAAGAAGCAAATGGGTCTCCGAAGAAGCAAATGGGTTTCCGAAGAAGCAAATGGGTCTCCGAAGAAGCAAATGGGTCTCCAAAGAAGCAAATGGGTCTTTCCAGAAGCAAATGGGTCTCCGAAGAAGCAAATGGGTTTCCGAAGAAGCAAATGGGTCTCCGAAGAAGCAAATGGGTCTCCAAAGAAGCAAATGGGTCTCCGAAGAAGCAAATGGGTCTCCGAAGAAGCAAATGGGTCTCTAAAGAAGCAAATGGGTCTAAGATGAAATACATTGGGCCTCTGATGAAAGGAATTGAGTCTTCACCAAAAACACATATTTTCTCATCCCTTTATCTTTGTTCAACGTGATGGTGTAACTGCTTTAGATTATTTTATCTACTGGAATTCATAGTTTGAAATATCTAAGGTCTATGACATTGGGTTGCTCAGATATAGAGATAAGAAATTCAGATTCAACTTCTTTACAGGGACTTTCCAAATAAATATAGGTTTTTTACTTTGAAATATGGAAGTATTTGAGAAACACACGGTTTCTTCATGCGATAAAGAAAGGTTTTATATGAAATATAGGTTTTACATGAAATATGGGGTTTCATGTGAAATATAGGTTTTATGTGAAATATGGGGTTTCATGTGAAAAAAGGTATTATGTGTAATATGGGGTTCCATATGAAATATAGGTTTTATATGAAATATGGGGTTTCATGTGAAAAAGGATTTTATGTGAAATATGGGGTCATATGAAATATAGGTTTTATGTGAAATATGAAATTCCATATGAAATATAGTTTTTATGTCAAATATGGGGTTCCATATGAAATATAGTTTTTATATGAAATATGGGGTTCCATATGAAATATAGGTATGAAATATGGGGTTTCATGTGTAAAAAAAGGTTTTCTGTGAAATATTGGGGTTTTGAGAATTCTGGCCTTATTATAATTGCATTTGTTGAATCCAAGCTATCTTCATAGTTGTCCGCTCCACATGCAATTCCAAAACCTTAGATAAAAGTTATATTTAGAAATTAGATCTGAAAGGGACTGTAAGCGCAATTTCAAGTTACCCTCCATGCAAAGATGGCAATGCCCGATTCCCGACGGTACCCCTGAAAGCTTTGCGAAATTGACTCGCACATTTCTTGGTTATAAGAAGAATGAAGAAACTCAAAGAAAACACTTTCCCAGTTATATAAAGCGAAGTTCTATCTTCCACATTTTAAATCTGATTAAACTTTCAAGAGTACACTTATAATTCGGGCAACGTCATCTTTGCATGGATGGTCATTTGAAAGTATGCTAAAAGTCTCTTTTATATCACACTTGTAAACAGATATTAACAGATATAGGTATTCCACTAAAACATGACAGATAGAAATATACGTATTCCACTAAAACATGACAGATGGAAATATAGGTATTCCACTAAAACATGACAAATGGAAATAAAGGTATTCCACTAAAACATGACAGATGGAAATATAGGTATTCCACTAAAACATGACAAATGGAAATGCTTGGAATATGGCCCGTGGCCGTATCTGATGATTATTGTTTCAACTTGCAAACTAAGTATGACGGACGCAAATGATTTTGAAGATCAAAGACGACATTAAAAAAGCATATGTTTAGAATAAACAATTGATTATTATTGTTTCAACTTGCAAACTAAGTATGACGGACGCAAATGATTTTGAAGATCAAAGACGACATTTCAGGCGTCTTGCAACTGTCATATTTAGTGAAACACTCTGCATCATCCTGATTACAATTATAGCCTGAACACTCTGAGGCCTTATTTTACATTCTTTTAAAAGGGAGGCAACACTGAGATTTCAGAATATTCAGAAAATTAGTACCGAAAAAAAAATAAAGTTTTTAGAATGGAATATGAAGATATGTGATAACTGAAAATAGGTTTTATGCATCACAATAAAATTTAAAAAATCATACTTGAATTCTGATGGTTTTTTTCTTAAGATTGTTGTTTTACCTACCTAATACTAATACTAGATTAATAGCATTGAGAGAAGGGGGACTCATTATCATAAATCTCTATTAATCCAACCTTTCATTAGTTTTAGAAATAATTTCAAAAGTAAAGTAAATTTTCATAAAATAACTATGAAGAAAAAATGAAACATCTTTAATGGCGGCCTGAAACTCAGTTTTAATAAAACGATCCAACGGTTAGACTTGGTCTTGGTCTGAAGTCAGAGTTTTTTATGTGTTTTGAATCTTGGGTTCAAGCATTGATCTCTATCTTATATAGATCTACAGATTAGTTTAATTCATCTACCGATATACAGTTGATCTCCAACTTATCTAGATCTACAGATTAGTTTAATTTATCAACCGATATCCAATGATCTCTATCTTATATAGATCTACAGATTAGTTTAATTCATTTACCGATATACAGTTGATCTCCATCTTATCTAGATCTACAGATTAGTTTAATTCATCTACCGATATACAGTTGATCTCCATTTTATCTAGATCTACAGATTAGTTTAATTCATTTACCGATATACAGTTGATCTCCATCTTATCTAGATCTACAGATTATTTCAATTTATCTACCGATATACAGTTGATCTCCATCTTATCTAGATCTACAGATTAGTTTAATTTATCAACTGATATCCAATGATCTCTATCTTATATAGATCTACAGATTAGTTTAATTCATCTACCGATATACAGTTGATCTCCATCTTATCTAGATCTACAGATTTACAACCTTGAAATTAAGAGTTTAAGATTAACGATACTGCTGCACACAGAAGCTTCGACCTCTGAATAAATATATCTTGAACGCTTGAGCTCGATATCCATTGGGGTAACCTTTAAATTTGAGGACCAATGCTTGATCCATTCGTTTTAGATATCCCTGCTGGGTATTAAAACTACAGGATACCGAAGAGGAATTAAATTAATTAGGTTTGCATAAGATTCAGATCAATACTCAATCCCAAGATTCAGAACACAAAAGTGCTGATTGCTGACTTCTGTATTCAACTTTTGTATTGATTTGGGCTTTCAAAGGTTTAATTTTAATCCCTTCTTTAAGTTCAATATATTTGTTAAGTCATTTAAAATTAGTTTTGTTTCTAAATGGATTTTATTCCAAAAGAAGGTTTCCTTGCTTGAGGAACCCCAACCCTTCGACTGATAAATAACACACTCGCATTCTCTTTATATCTATAGGATTATATTGATATTATTGAGTCAGCCATTTTTGATAGTTTTGTGAAAAATGTATTTGATAAACATTTCTTAACATTCCTACTAGAAAACTTATACTTCTGTAAAGTTTTTCCAGAAAAATTTCACTCCCTTAATCTATATTAAAACTGTTTGATTGAGATCCATCTTTTACAATCTTTCCACAACCAACCACGCCGTTTAAAAGAACAAGGAATTTAATCGACCTGAGTCCGAATTGAAAGAATTTGAGCCGCGGCTTTAATTTGAGAAGCGGCTCAAATATGGTTGGTTCCACTTAAAATTGTATTCAATGTTTCAAGATTTGAGCCGGCGCTCAATTGAAACCGTTATTTGTGGATTTGAGACGCAGCTCAAATTCATTAAATTCGGCCTCAGTATAGCTTAATTTAAAGTGAACTACCGTGTATCGAGTTGCATGTCCTATTCCCAAAGGTACCCTCCAAAAGCGTTGTCTAATCAAGTATCAACTTACAACTGGGATTTTCAAATTGAACATATCTCGAATAAAATTGTTAGCTCAATCTTTGCTTTGTCTCAAATTAAGAATATCTTACAATTAAACATTCGTCTACTTGTTTATAACTCTCTTGAAAGGCCTCATATTGAATATGGAATTGTCACTTAGAGAGGGGTTAAAAACTCTAAACTGCAAAAAATCAGATCTTTGCAAAAAAAAGGCAATCAGACCGGTAAATAATAGTACTTTCAAGGCACATTCAAATCCATTATTTTCAAAACTGAAAGTTCTTAATCTTGATGATACATGCAAACTTAGTGTTCTGACATTTATGCATGAATACTTTAATGATAACCTTCTCTCTTCCTTCCGAAATATGGCTAAGTCTCTAGCTGATCTCAATAGAACAAAATCATATAAATTAGAACGGGTTTTCAACGAAAATTTAGAAAGCTTTCCGTCTGCAATGTTTCCTAAATTGTGGAATGTAATTGAAATTGACCTTAAAAAATCCCTCTGATCTCACCCTGCCACAGATCACCTGACAATCTCCTTCCTTCCAATCAACTCCTTACCTATCCAAAAATAAAACTTGATGTGCGTAACCAATTATTTATCGTTAATTAACTTCGGGCTAACCACTTAAAACAACCAACCCTGGTTAGGCGGGTCTAAACTGCATAGTAAATTGTGATTGCTTATTTGTAATATCTCATGCTTTGTAGTTGAATAAAAATATGAATGAAGCAGAAAGATCAATTTTCAATGTTTTTCTCCTTGTCCCGTTTCTAATCATACTATACTATCGTTTTATTTTTAATAAAGTTTTATCCTGAGGAGTTTAATATTTAACCAATGTTTATCTTTTGTTAATTGTTAGTAGATATTAAAAATTAACACCCTGATTTGAGATTTTCAAACTTTTAAGTTTACCCCAGTACTTCGGAGCCATCGAAAAAATTCATAAAATGTCGTCTTGACAATGTTCAGTGTTTTTTTACTATTTAATCACAGTAATTTTAAAAATGAATATTTAGCAATGAAATATGTGGAACCAGTTTCAAAGAGCTCCATATAATAATAATTTAATTTAAAAAACTATCAGTAGGTGTAAAAAACGACTTTTTATAAATTCTTTCGATGGCTCCCAAGTTCTGGGCTAGACTGTATATAAAGTGGAAATTTATAAAAATTCTAAAAGAATAAAATCCTGATATATATTCCTATCAGAATATGTTTGTTAACAGGGTGTAGGGTGTCCGGCCTATGGAGCATAAATCGTAGCATCTAATATAAATTGTTCAGAATATGTTGGTTGACATATTAGGGTGTCCGGCCTACGGAGCATAAATCGTAGCATCTATTATAAATTGTTCAGAATTTTTACTAATTAGTCGAGAATGATACAATGTTCCACTAGAGAAGGTCATCACTTATCATCACGAAAAAAATTTACAATAAAAAATTAGTCTTGAATAAATTGAATTTTTTCTACATAAAATTAATTCAATATATTATGGAAAGTAATTAATTAAAAAAAAAGTCTTCTCCGTTCCTGATTTGTCCTGGCTTTGTACTTATTTGATAACAATTCAAACACTTGGTTTAAATTTTAACAATTCGAATTTTAAAACTTTGAACCCAAATTTGACGAGTGTCATTAACAATGTTCAATACTTCCGAAAGCCACTTTCTAGATTAGCAGTGGCCGAAAATTTTCAATTAAAATAATTCTTTCGTTTGATCGTTTACAGCCTTTTTGACAATTATTAAAAAGTTACTTTAAAAGGTCAAAACTGTTAAATCGATTGACAAACATAACGTTTTAGAAAGTGATGAAAAAAAAAATGAGTACAAGATATAATCAAACATTAGAGATGTCAAAAATTGGCGCTGATAAAAAAGATGCTTAAAAATCCCCATTTTGAGTAGAACCTATATCTTTTTCAAAACACATAAAGCCTATTTTATTTTTTCGACATTACTAATAAAACTATAATTTTTATTTCTAACAGTTGTAAGTATATCGCCAAAAACTAATAACAGTCCACCGTCATTTATATTAAATATTGTGTAAACATAGATTTCCTTTTGGGTTTATTTTTAAATTTTTTTTCTAGAATTGGAGGAAGTCTTCCAATAACCTCTGTTTTTGGAGGTTTTTAAATATTTTCTCCTGAAACACTTAATTTTGTAAGTTTTTGATTTATTTTATAAATAAATAATTACATAAAATCTTATTTGAAATGTCGCCTATCTCTATCCAACCTCGTGATGGAATTTAATCAAAGGCAAAATATATAAATAATAAAAAGTCTAATCAACTATTTATTAAAGAAATATCTTCCGAAATATGTAATAATTATTAATCAAATAGCAGCTTCGAGATTCATTATAAAATAGCATTAATTTTAGAACAAAAAGATTCTATACTAAAAGAAATTGGCGTTTAAATCTGATTTTGATGGCTCCGATCGACCTCTTACCTAATATCTAAAATATATTATCAAAAAATTAATTAATTATAAAAATATGAATTGGTAAATAACAATAATAACAATAATAAATAAACAATATGAAAAATAATACATATAACCGCGGCAGAACAAATACTGGAATGATCAATTCCTTCAAGGGGTTCCAACTTCAACCAGGCCAGGGTCAATTTGGATCCGCCAAGGCATTATAGAACTTTTTCTAAAGCTCTTGAGAATGATAAACCCTTTAAAACGTTATGAAATGAAGAGCAGAACCTTAATTTACTGAATTATGAGCAGTTCTTCCAACTAAATACTACACAGAGCTAGGTGTGACAAAATTAAAAAGTTTGCGGGTCAATTCCATAGAAACTTTTTACAGCATGTCTCACCTAGCTCTGTGTAGCATCTAGGGGCTGGATTTATTTCAAAATATAGTAAAAAGATAAAAAGCCTTAATTTCCTAATTTCTTTTATATGGTTTATTAATCTTAACAGCGTCATTAAAGTTTCCGAGAAGGCTTTTACGGGTTCAAATAGATCCTAAATTGGAAACTATAATTCCTAGTGTGCACAGGAATGCACCGAAGAAGTAGTTCTAGTAGCCGCATCTAGTTCAACTCACTTTTCATTAAATCCGACTGTAGAATAAAACTATACAATGTTAGAATTTGGTCAAGTTACAAATATACAATTTGAGATTCTTACTGGTAGAAAACCTTTCTGAATATCTAAAACTTCTGAGTCTTAATATCCCATGAGTCAGAATATCTAGAACTCATATGAACCTGAATATCTAGAACTCATATGAACCTGAATATCTAGTACTCATATGAGCCTCAATATCTATAACACCTATGAGTTTGAATATCTAGAACTCCCATGAGTTTGAATATCTAGAACTCCTATGAGCCTGAATATCTAGAACTCCCATGAGCCTAAATATCTAGAACTCCTATGAGCCTGAATATAAAGAACTCCTATGAGTCTGAGTATCTAGAACTCCCATGAGTCTATCCAATGCAGTTTATGAAGACTTGAATTAGTTTCACGACCATATCCTCCGTCTCCCTCCATTCCGTAAACTAAACACAAAATTATAAATCATATTGTTTAATAAACTTTCTTAACGGCAGTGCTTTGGTTCCATTTCATTTTGATCCGGATCCCGAAAGCGGACCCAGATCCTGAAGATTTCTTTAAGATTTACTGATTTTTTGACATGAGATTTTTTACAACCTTTTTTCTTCTATTTTGGCTCATTTTTGCTAAAATTAGTGACCCATTCAGAGATTTATAACTTTTTATTTAATAAATTAGATTTGTGGTTAGGTGAATATTTTGCCTTTGGATCCGGATCCAGGAGGACAAAATGTTGCGGATCCAACGGATCCGGATCCTAAGCACTGTTTGTAACTGAAGAATAAATTAATTAGATATCTAACTGTTAAACCATTAAATTCATTACTAAAACTATATAACTGATAAACTTGTGAATGAACGTTTTGAAAGTAAACTATTGATGAATTACTGAGCTTACTTTTCTCTAAAGTGAAAAATATTTTGAAAAAGGATAAATATGAATGAATGAATGAATGAATGAATATACTAAAAGGAGAAAACTAATAACTAATATGATTTGTGGGGGCCCTTTATAAGGATGAATAGGTGAAAGGATGAATAAATGAATTGAGGAATGACTGAAGAAAAGATGAAAGGGTGAATTAAGGAATGACTAAAGAAAGAATGAATGAAAGAATGAAAGAAAGAATGAATAAATGTCAATATACCTAAAGGAGAGAATATATAGTAACTGTAAGCAGCAACTGCTATTACAGCTCCCAGGGCTGAATGAAGAACAGAAGAACGAACTGTATCAGGAACTAGTCGACATACCTCACCTTAAATATTAAGTAAAACAAGATTAATAAGTGTAAACAAGGATTAAGATCAAGGAAGGTACGTACGACAAATGTAAACACAAATGTGCTTTGCATGATGTACTTCGGAATCAGTATACTAAAATACGCAAAAAGTTCCATTTTGGTCGCTCTTCGAATATGTAGCTATGCCAGTTTTCAGATGAAGGTTAGAAACTTTCTGTTGTGAGAATAAGTCACTGATTTCTTAGATTTGCTAAAGGCTAAAAAATAAATTTAAAAAACTTACGTATGATATAGTCCACAATGACCCCACTAAGCATACTAGAGAATAGAAGAGCAGGGAAGTAATGATGATAGTAGAGAACTCGACCCATTGTGTAGAACGGTATATAGTGCATACACCAACCCAGAAACAACCAACCACACGCTACTAGCGCCCTCTCACTACTTGCGCCGGATGCCGCGTCCAAAGTATTTTCGGTCGCCATCTTGTCTCCCCGCTGTCCTTTAAACGAATGGAACACATAGACAGCGATGAATACTGCTAGGAACACTAAGTTCCCCCACCATATAATAGGGTTCCCGAGCAGATAAATCCGCAATTCTTCTCCGGCACTAAACCATTGACCTTTCATGTTGACCGGCCATTCCCAGGGTTTAGAGGTCCATTCTCCTTCCTTGGGTTTTAATCCTGAGTTACCCTGGATCATTACTCGGTGGGACTCAATGAATTTAGAAATAAATCCTAAAAAAATATAAATGATAGAGAAATTCGACTCGTATCAATAAAAAGGCTTTACAATCATAAGCATGTAATAGCATTTCTTTAAAACAAAATTTCAGATTTGGATAAAACAAGAAAGTCTATAAAACAATATGACCTTTTTTCTAAAACGCTTGAAAGTTGGATCTTACCTGGGGCCATGTCAGCCAGGGATACGTTAGGAAGCAAAGGAAACGTATTGTCTTCAACGTTCCATAAAGAGTTTGGATCGCGTTGGGTTGGATTACAAGCTATCTCACCCTACACATAATTTAATAATTACATGTTTAATTGGAGCATTTAACCGAAAAGTGGTGATAAGATTAGATTTCTAGATTTTAAAATTTGAGAAGAAAAAGCAATAAACAGATTATTAGAAATATTTCAGAAATGCCATTACATCTGACCAAAAAAGTTTATAATTACTAATTTAACACACAAGAGATTTCAAATGATACCAAAAGTTGTAACTTTTGAGAGTAGTATTGTTTAATCTTGAACGTTAGATCTCAAAATCCAATGTGAACACTTCTAAATTTGAGGATAAATTCTTCCAAATATAAACAAAAACAAAGTTTAGGATTGTTCTAAATAAACCTACCTGTTCAAAGCCCCATTTTGGCAGAGTTTTTGTTGTAGTAGTTAACACACACTTCACGAAATAATGATGGAATTTTATCCTAAACAAAAAATATTTCATCATAGTGGAATTTAGAGGTGAACGTTGGCTAGTATTTTTCTTATTTGTTTTTAAAAAATGCCTGAAGCCCGTGAAACTAACGAGGGCCATGTTTTAAGTAACATTTTTTAGAAAAATAAGCATATACAATATACATTATACACGCCCACTTAATAAACCTTTTTGTAAAAATTGAAGTCCATAACATTAAAAACTATGTATTTGTGTTGATCTGAACTGAGGGAAATAAGACTTCAACTAAGCTGTCATTTAAACTAGTATAAGATTCGATGTTTGGAATATGTTGTGACTAATTTTCCAGAGTTGAGTCTATTAGGTTGATTCGCAATATATCATAATTTTTAAAGGAATCTGTAAACTATTTTGATAAAGTGTAGTTTCAGGCCGAAAAACATTAGCCCGGACGCTTTCACACTCCTGGACGGATTCTCACCAGAAGGAATCCACCAAATATTGTATTTGGTGGATTTTCATGTTTGGAATTGACTGTCGTCAGCTGATTCAAAAGTTGGGTTAAAGACGAAGCCTTAAATCTGGTTCTAAGGGAATTAAAACCCGAATCTGAGCTTTTAAATCGTTTTGTCTTGGGGTTTCAGAAGCGTTTAAAAGAAATTAAAACGCAATTGAATACAAATTAAAGAAACCGAACGCATCTAGCCCTGGTTTAGTCCATGGTGACAGAAAGGCAAAGTATATATATCTATAATGAATGTAAATAGAAGATGGAGGTGAAGTAAACAACAAGAAAGAAGTTAAATAAATAAACCTACTTTGATACAACAGTTCTAACAATCTCTCCATCCTCAGCTCCCGGAATCTCTAATCTCCAAACATCGTTGGCATCTCCAGTTCCATTTTCACCGTATCCTGTCACCTATACAATGTACTTTATGAACCCTGCCATATACACAATGTACTTTATGAACCCTACCATATAATCATCAATTTTGTGATTGTAAACTCTATCTGTATACAGATACATTTATTTTAGCAATAAACTTTATCTTATCTTATTTTATCTTACACGATGTACTTTATGAACCCTACCATATACACAATATACTTTATGAACCCTGACTTGAAAAGGAAAAATTCTTTATTCCTTCTAACCTATCATCTAACCTATCATCTAACCTATCATCTAACCAACATCTAATCAACATGTAACCAACATGTAATCTATTTAAAGTATATTTTCACCTGGAAGTGACGTTTAGAAACCGGTGCAGGCTGGTTATGAGAATGAACATTTCTCCTAAAAATTTGGAAGAAAAAATTTAAAATATTAAATCAGAAAATGAGTTTTTTGTTAATCTTAAGTAGATATTTTATTGAAAAATCAAGCCTTTTGGGAGGGGACCAATGGATCAAAAGTATCAAAAAAGATGAAAGGTTTTCATCTTTTTTCCCTTACCTTGTGACTAAGTGTTCAAGACGAACTAAATCCCCATTCTTGACGAACTCTATCTCTAGTTGAGGATCCGTGATATTGGGGGCGTCCTCGTTCCACTTCTTGATCACGAACACGTTGTTCTCGTCCTTGTGAGCGTAGGTTGTAACCTGCTGCTGTTTACTACCAAAACCATCTAAAATTTAAAATTATTTTTTTAAAATGAGGCATTACAAAATGGGGGTTAAATGGGGACTTGTATTTTCAAGTAACCCTACGTTTAAAAAGTAGCGTCCCGATTCACAACAGCACCCTTTACAGTTACACATTTAATTAATAATTAAGGAATGAGATACTACTCCCTAAACGTATCATTTTCTAATGGGGGTTCTCTGTAAATCTTGCGTGTTTATGCTGCAGAGACAAAAAAAGAAATAAATTTTCAGAATTTAACAATTTTCAAGGGAGAAAACGACGATATCTTCCTTCATGTTACTCAGATAGAGGTACCGTTTTGAATCGGAAATGCTGGTCTACAAATGGAGAGGTCCTGAGTTCAAAACGATAGTGGAAATATTGTTCTTTAGGAAAATGTGCATATCAGTTCAGAATTTAAGCACTTTATAAAAATGTTAATTAGCTCTAAAAATTGTTTAACATACACTGCCAATAAATAAATTGTCTTAAACTTAACGATGTCTCTTATTTAACTCAGTGATGGATAGTTAAAATCAAATGACGAACAGAACAAATTTCAACAGATAAATCAAAATTAAGACACACTATTTTGAAACGCCAAAAAGGAAAGTAAAAAATTTGAACAAAAACATTTAATTCTAAACCCAGCAAGCATTTATATGTTACAAATACTCAATTTTTCAAGGTCAATGGTGGGTACTGGTTATAATCTCAGTTTCATACCTGGATAGAGATGAAAATGAGAATGTAGATAAGCTCCTCCTGTTCTGTGGTTCTTCAGAGTTATTTGAGCGCCGTAGGCAACCTGTATGTAATATCGGTTTCATATTTTTGTCACAAGGTGGTGTTGGTTGAAATATTGACATTTACAACTGAGGATTTTTATTTCAAATTTGGTACAAATGTTGAAAACAGTATTCTTTAAACCTAAGCTAATATAAATATATCTTGGTAGCTTAGATTGAGGTTATAGGGTACCGTAGTGAATCATTAGTAACACTCTGAAAGTGAAGTTAAATTGAAATGCCACTAACAGTCCCTTTCAGTTGTACTGTATACCTGTGCAGGAACGGTAGCGTTCTGTAGTCTGTTGCCCTCTAATGTTGTCTGGTACAAGGAACTATAGAAACCATCTCCCGTACCAGTCTTACTCAATACACTGCAGTAGCATATACTTATAGTTACTGGATGAAAATTAAAAAAGAACTGATTTGACATTTTAAATCACTGAGATATAGAATATAGATAACTCTCAAACTTAATCATCAAGTTTTTAGACAGCCACGACTTTAAAGAGTCGCGATGCCTTGGTCTTTGGTTTTACCTCACAAGCTCGTTCATACTTGTTTGTAGCCCTAGATATATTCATTTTTAAAATTTAACGGGCTTGTTTGTTTGTGTGTTTAAAAGGTGTAACTGGCAAAATACAACTCTATTTTTGTGTGAGAGCGTGGACATCTTGGTTTGAAGTGAAATCATTATCTAAGATAAAAAAACGACCAGATTCAGGGTAAATTTTCAGTCAGTAAGAAATTAAAAGCCTTTAGCAATATTTCTAATTAAAAACATAATAAAACAACTTTTATTCCACTTGATACTAAAATGTTTAGCATTTATATTACATTTATTTTGTAAATTTTATACTGAAATAAAAAGTTTTAAGCTCCACTATGATTTTAGTTTTCATAGTTTTATTCGTAGTTTTATTAAGACATTTTCTTATCATTTCACTCTATTTAGTGAATATAGTTTTTACAAAACAACTATTCGTCCCTAAGGTGTATGTAGAAGAATGTGATGTATAGCAGGGCGGGGAGTAGGATCAGACAAACTGCCCGGGACAGGAAGTGCTTGACGGTGTAGGAGAGAGGTTTACTCAGGTCTCCCAGAATATCCCACAATTGACCTGAAAATAAGGCATCATCAATATTGGAACTGAGCCAACCATAGGCCACAAAACTAAATATTTCGAAAACTTTCATGTTACTCACCATTTCTCCGACTTTAAATTTTGAAATAGGATTTCATAAATCGATAATCCCTACTGCAAATACAATAATACTAAAAGGGACTGTGAGAGTAAATTCAAGTGACCTTTCATTTAAAGAGGAACATTACCGATATACAAGGGAATCATTTGACTGATCATCGAGGACAGTGAACTAAGTGTATGTATCTCTTGAATTCTGTGTAAAAACCGCAATATTGGAGTGTACGCTAGATTACTGTATGAACTCAACAAGGATGACGTCACATTTATTCCTGGAAAATCCAGATTATTTTAAGTTTAACGCGGATTTTAAAAACTTGAACGTGAATATTTATATTCTGCCAAATCTATAAAGTAAATATTAATATTCCTTAAATATAAAAGAACAATAAAAAGGGTTTCTCTTCAAAAATAAGAAGAAGTCTGTCATCATTGACTTGAATGCTTAAACAGGTAAAGGGTACGGTCGTGAATAGGGAATGTCCCTCTTGAAATAAAAGGTAACTTGAAATTACACTTACAGTCCCTTTAATAGTTTAAATTTTAGACCGTCAATGTGTTTATGTAAAACTAGATCAATCTAACATAAGAACGAACATAGCTTCCTGATTTGAATGTAGTATTATTTTAGACAACAAATATATGCATTTCTAATTCATAATTTTGCAATTAAAAGGCTATGCGTAAAAAATCATTAAGTCTCATGATAATTAGAAAGCAGTAACATCTCTGTAAAAACGCAATTTATAGCGTACTAGAAGAAATGCCGTATCTTAATCTGTTATGGTTTTCTTGAAAGAAGAATCAAATTGACATAGAATTATCACCGATCAAATCCTTCTCCCATAAACCCATAAAATAACAAGACTTAAGCTTGGTTTTAGACCATTTATTTCTGACACAAGCGTGGTTTTCATCTCCAAAACAGATGATAAGTGGATATTCCAAATTTATATGTAAATTTGGCTTGTCTATCTGTTTGTCTGTCTGGGTGTTTGTTTGTTTGTATCCAATAAACGTCAAAACGGCTGAACCGATCGGGCCCAAATTTTTTGTGGGACATCACGTGACCACAGGGAAGGTCAATGAATGATAAAAATTTAAAAAAATGTGTTTTAAAGGTTTTTAATTTTGTAAAAAAAATAAAATTCTTGAAAATCCGCGAATTTCTTTTTAAAAATCCACAACATTTTCTTCTTCTTAGTTTTCAAATGTAAGCAAAAAGAACATGTTCTCAATTTGAGTAGAAGATGGGCGCGAAGCGCCCTAAAAGCCAAGTGATAAATAAATAACTAAGATAATATGTCACAACACTACGTCCAAAAGAAAAAACGGAGTGTCAAGTGGTTTAAATATATATTTCTATTCTTTATTTTTAATTATACATAGATCCTAAATATCATGAAGCTAGGGAGGTGTCCAAAACCTCCTTGACATAATTAATTGCTGACAAAGAGAATCTCCCTCCCGGTGATCTGAGGTTTGTCTTTATGTTTAGATTTTTGAACATGTTTCGTTAGATATATAAATATTAAAGATAATGTACTTGATATTGAATTGAGGGTACTTGATTAAGTATATTTTAGGTTAATTGATCAATTTATTGCATTGTAATGAAGAAAAATAGAGTTACCTATAGTGAAGATCCCAACGAAGAGAACAACAAATAAGCCAACGAATTTAACTGAGATCGCTCCTAAAATAATCTTTTTTAAACAATGTTCTATCGTTCATCAGAAGGGTATATAATATATAGATAACCCCTCCACCATTTTTAACTATGCACACATTGAGTAGTTAATTTTCTATCAATACTTATCCTAATAACTAGAATCACTAAGTAATGCTATTAAATACTAGTTTGGGAACCCAGCTTTGCCCATAAAAGTAAAACTATAAAAATTAGAACTTTTGAATCACGCTAAGAACATTTCCGCGGGTCTTCCAAGTTCCCCAATTAATTTTGAGGAAAATCGGACCAGGAGTTCATGAGATATGACCAGAACCAACATAAATTAGAGAAAGGTTGATTGACTAACCTGCTAACATGCTTCCAGTTGCAGCTAACCAGAGAAAGGTTGATTGACTAACCTGCTAACATGCTTCCAGTTGCAGCTAACCAGAACCACTATGAATTAGAGAAAGGTTGATTGACTAATGATTAACCTGCTAACATGCTTCCAGTTGCAGCTAACCAAAACCACCATGAATTAAAGAAAGGTTGATTGACTAACCTGCTAACATGCTTCCAGTTGCAGCTAACCAAAACCACCATGAATTAGAGAAAGGTTGGTTGACTAAAGACCTAAATCTCATCATAGCGCACACCGATCCAGAGATAAAGAAAAGCAGGATTGGATCTAAAAATAAATATTTTTCATCTTTTATAAACCGAAAGTATTAAGCTCCTGCCACAAACTCAAATGTTCTAATCCCTAAATCTTAGCAACTTAATAGTGTAAACTTATGATATTTCAAACTAATGACTATTTAATTGACTGAATTTAAAGTTAGATTTATCAAAGGTCTTCGACATTGGGTTGAAAAGACATAGGCATTTAAAAATCCGAGTTTGTGACAATAACTCAATTCTTTTTGTAAAATCAAAAAATTAAGACTCACCTAGTAAAATGTATCGGTTAAGGGTTGCCATCCCTATATCGAAAATGATAAAGGAGGACGCAAGAACGCTAGCGGATACTGAGCCGGTTAAATCCCAAACTAAAACATAATCTATTTGTAGTAGTGGGCATAGGCGCAACTAGGTAAGGGGGGGAGAGGCGGGGGCACAGCTGCCAACAATAAGTTTGCTCGAATTCATAAAGATTAAAAAGATGATTTTTACTCTTCAAATTCTAATATTTCACTCTTATGTTTGGAATATCACGAATTACACCACAAAAAAATCTACCCCCCCCCCCTCCCCATTAAATAACCCAGTTACACTTCTAGTGTGGGGTGGTGATCGGAAAGGAAGAAGGTTGGAAATGCGGGAAACTTTTACGATGGAACTACTTTAAATATCCACATTATTTTTTTTAATATATATCAGAAATATTAATCTTGAAATACCTGTGAGGTATGAAAAAGGTACGATGGCACATCCTAGCAGCGTGCATCCTGCGCGCATACCAAGAATCGAATGATCCTCGTAGCTTTGGCCCGGCTTTTCGAAGGGATGGGTACCGTTGTATCCTGTGATATACCCCATACCGGCGATCATCATCTTCCCAAGCGGCGGGTGTACGTCGAAGAAGAAGGTACGGTTTATGTACCAGGATCCCATTTTCCCAAAATGTGTTTCGTCCCAACAAATCCAGTTGGGATTGTCAACCTGTACATAAATAATTTTGTTAGATCTTTCAAAATTATCAAATCTTGTCATGTTATTTTATACGATTAATAAAATTTAGAATTGTTAAGGTATACTTCAAAAAGTTATAAAATATTTAGTTTTGGATGATTTAAAAAATAATTTTTATCCTTTATACATGAAAGAAAAGCTAAAAATTTTTCTGTTTTTATATAATGGAAAACCAATGTGTTTGTATTGATATATGAAGGAGAAAAAATATATATTTGTTTTTATATTTGAAGGAAAACAATATATGTTTGTATTTATATTTGGAGGAAAACAATATATGTTTGTATTTATATTTGAAGGAAAAACAATATATGTTTGTATTTATATTTGAAGGAAAAACAATATATGTTTGTATTTATATTTAAAGGAAAAACAATATATGTTGTATTTATATTTGAAGGAAAACAATATATGTTTGTATTTATATTTGAAGGAAAAACAATATAGGTTTGTATTTATATTTGAAGGAAAAACAATATAGGTTTGTATTTATATTTGAAGGAAAACAATATATGTTTGTATTTATATTTGAAGGAAAACAATATAGGTTTCTATTTATATTTAAAGGAAAACAATATAGGTTTCTATCTATATTTGAAGAAAAATAATATATGTTTATATTTATATTTGAAGGAAAAACAATATATGTTTGTATTTATATTTGAAGGAAAACAATATAGGTTTATATTTATATTTGAAGGAAAACAATATATGTTTGTATTTATATTTGAAGGACAAAAAATATAGGTTTGTATTTATATTTGAAGGAAAAACAATATAGGTTTATATTTATATTTGAAGGAAAACAATATATATTTATATTTATACATGAAAAGCCTATATGTGTTTGTATATATGTATATATATATATATATGAAAGAAAGATAATATATGTTAGTATTTTATTTAAAAGAAAGCGAATATATGTTTGCAAAAAAAACTTCCTTAATAAATTATGTGAAACTACGATAACTTCAAATTTGAATCGTTTCCGAGTTTCCTTCTTGGGGTATGTGTATATTTGCATTCATAAATAACAAAAAAAAGGGACTAAAAAAACTAACCATGACAATAACATTTCTTACACAAAAAAATTTAATATCTACAATATCGTCTGACCCCATTCATGAACCCGGGTTTCATGATACCCTGTCTTAAGTTTTGGGCTCCAGAAAGAATAGAAAGCTTGGGTTTGTTTACATTCATCCCAGAAACTGCAGTACACTGTTTTTATATGAAAAGCTATGGGATTTCTTGAAAAATTTCTTGCATAATCTAAACGAGCACCGAATTAAAATCTGTTTTAAAAAAATGAACGAAATTTAATTCTCTGATTTACCTTATAAAGTCGAGTAGCAAGGGTTAGAAGTATGGAGAGTATAAAAGCCCCCCACCATAATGATTCCTCCTCCTCCTTCCCCTTCTCCTGAACCCCTCCTTCCCCCTCCTCTCTTTTCTTTTTCACTTTCTCTGTAGGAGGCATATTCTGTACTAGTTGAGTATGTGTAACTGAACTGTAGTCTGCAGACAGGTAGATCCATCTAACTATCTATCTATCACACACGTTCAAATCTCCCAAGATTTCAGCATAACTCCCATAACTACGCTAATACGTACGCTAAATATTATTTAACCATTTTCAATAATTGTTCTGAAAAACTTTCAACAGATATTCAAAACTTAAAATTAAAAAAATTAAATTAAACGTAAAAATGCGAGGGTTTAGAGTAACTTTAAGTAAAGTGTACACAATGTACTCAACGATACAATGACATGACAGGTTTCCTCCTGGGTCTAACAGGTGTGACGTCATACGCCGGGAAATTGCAAATCATGCATTTACAGTTTCTTTTAGGTACTGGCATACATCGTACATTCTATTTATTTACTTGTTCATGTAGAAGAACTGTTTTTAAGTAGAAAGTAGAAATGGAAAACCATAAAGAAAAGTATTAAAATTCTTCGTTATTTCTCGAGTATTCCAGGTGGAAAAATAAGAATCAAAAATGATTTGTCCTGCAGTACGCCAATTCAAAAATCTAATAAAAATAAGTTAAACCAGTGTTTCGGATCCGGATCCGCGGATCCGCATCCGTGATGATGGATCCGGATCCTGACTCTGATACGGATCCGGATCCGAGGTAACTTTTGATTCTGTGAATCGGATTTTCCCTATTAAATGTTATGCAAGGTTATAATTTATAAACTATAGTAATCCTAAAGTTAAAAATGTCGTCATTACTATTATATAAATGTAAACATTAAATTATTAAAGATAATTTTGAAAAATTTTCGTCATGTAAATAATACATTTACGAACCATTTTGATTTATTTATTCCATGGTTTTGGTTAATTTTTGGCGCTACCCGGATCCATATCAACGTTTCCTGATACGGATCCGGATCCGGATCCGACCAAATGATACGGATCCGAAACGATGAGTTAAACTATAGCAATTTTCATTAAGAATTACAAAAACATTTTTAAAAAGATTTTAATAATCATTTTCTCCATTAGATGTGATCGGTGAAGATATATAGTATATTAATAACAACTTCTTTAGGGTTTTAAGGGAAAGGTTAATCCCCTATTATTAAATAATTGAAACTCCCGTGCTCTGTATATAAGAATATTTGTTCATACGATCAAACTGACTTGCTTCAAACTAAGTATTGATTAATAAAGGGACTCTAAACCGTAATTTTAAGTGACCCTACATAAAAAGACAACAATGCCCGAATTTTGACGGTAGCTTTAAAACCTGAATCTGATAAAAAATGTGGAAGCCAGCTTTTTCTTTCCGACTCAAAAATATTTAACTCTGATATATTCTCCATTGTTTCTTTTAAGCAAGAAATGCGCAAATCACTTTTACAGTGAAACAACAAATAGAAAATGAACAGTAATTATGAACAAAACGTACTTATCTAATTCATACCATGTAGTGAATCGGGCATTGCCATCTTTCCTAGGAGAGTCACTAATAATTTCTCTTACCGTATCTTTAATATTTATTAGATTCAAATCAGCGAAACGCGAGATAATTACCATTCGACAACACACCATAATGTGCTGATGAACACACAAATCACATTATACTAATTCTTTAGCTAAACTTGACTTCGCGATCAATTCAGTGGAAAAGGAAACAAACTGGATTTTGTCAGTGTGTACAAAGCGTTTGCAAGAGGCTGAACTTTATTTTGCATACATGAAGATTAAATTAAATACTTTGCACTAATTGATTTCAAATAATCCAGCCCATCTTGTGGCCGTAACTCCAGAGATATATTCTCCGACGGAATATGGATTTCTATCAACGGATCCGGATTCATGTTCTTCCGCCCTAAGAGGACGAGGATAGGATATCCTGTCCTGTCAGCTTCATACTGCTTCTTCCCAACTGAGAGTTTCTCCCTGTCGTCCAATATGACGTCATTGGGGAAAATATTGTTTATCTTCTCATACAGATTGTCAACATCGACTCCAGTGTAGGCTTTAGTTCCTGTCTTTTGTGTGAGAATGCATACAGAGAAGGGGGAGAGAGAAGACGGCCATCGAATCTCTGTTTCTGTGGAGAGAACCTAAAGGACAATGTAGTTTTAAAAGCTTTATTGAAAAAGGCTTATGAACAAAAAAAACATTCAAACAATCATTTACATACATATTCCCCCACCCCAATAAAACGCATCGTATTTCTTCTCATGATTGATGCCTATATCAGATAAAATTATAAGTTTTTGCACAGTGCACTTAAAACACACTTCCCCAGTGTACAAGTTATCAAGAAAAATAAATTTACATGCAAGGTTCCATTTAAACAACTATATTTAGTATTATAAGCTACATTTGACTTAGATCAGTGATATTGCGAACTGAAGTTTATCAAAAATGTTTTTAAATGATCTACTTCGCGCCTCAAGAAATTTTCTACGCCACTGTAACCTCTACAGTGGATCTTAAAAACTGTGGAATAGGAAGACGACTGTTGAACTTAAGATTTAATTTAACCAGCCTAATGCAGTGCACTATACAGTGTACATAGACCCCCTTCTACCATATAAGTTAATAATTAAGATAATTATGATAAGATACAGGTAAGATTTCTTAAATGTCGTCTTTATATTACACAGTTTTATTAGTCTCGAGTTTCTAACCTCTACAGCAGCTGCCAGGATCCTGGAGACTCCTATGCCGTAGCATCCCATCTCTAAGGTCTCCGCTTTACCTCCTCCTCCTCCTCCAGCTCCGGTAAACTGGGCTCCGAAAATCTAAAAATACTTATTATAGATCGAATGCTTGGTGGCCTATACAATTAGTAAATTATTTGCGTACATTATCACTTTATACTCTATAACCTAGTTGTTTATGTGTATCCAAGCTGTTTAAAAGCTTGATAAAATTCAAAAATTGAAATCGTCTTCATTGTATTGATATATACGACGACGACTGTATTATATGAATTATATACTACCTTTGAATACTTTTGCCCTAGAAGAAAGGTATGCCCAACTTCTATTCCTTTACTTATCTTCAGTTTCTCCCCACAGCCTGGGCACTCATCAGAACCTTAGATTTGTATTTAATTAGAACTTAAAGGGACTGTAAGCGTAATTTCAAGTGCCCCTTCGTGCAAATATTGCAATTATACCTTGAATGTTGCGTTTATTCAAAGTGTTTTGTTTTACACGCAAGTTAACAGTACTTTTTTAAACCATGCACACACTGCACAGTTTTAAAAAGGATAAAAAGGAGGTTGAATCAAAAGCCAAGCCTAGGCTCCCGAAAAGCAATTTTTACAATTTTTTAAGCAGTTTGAATCTATGAGAGTGTCCGCAATGATTACTCTCTCGTAAAGCCAGGTTAAGAATTATCAAAATAAAAAAAAACATTATCTCTTTTATCATTTCTTAGATAAAGTTGTGATTCCGTAAAAAATTTGTTAAAGGCTCTATTGTAAAGATTATTTTGAAAACCAAAAAACCATCTACATTTTTGGGAAAATTTTAACGGCTTTCCTCAGTAACGTGCTCAAAGACTTAGATAAGTACGAAGGAGTTAATTAGTACTTATTCGCAAGATAGAAATGATCTACCAAAAATATTGCTAATAAACATCTGCAGTACACACTACACAGAAACATTTTAACTGCAGTACGCATTTTTATTATTTACCTTGTTTGTCGTTGTTAAGTTCAATATTCTTTCCCCATTTACAAGCAGAACACCAAAGCAACTCATCCTGACCTAAATTTTGAAAATCTTTTATTATTCATTATTATGTTCCAACAATAAACACCAATATTTCCATTATCTCCTTCCTTACCTATTCCAGCAGGATAATGGAATTCATGAGAGGATGTTCCACCAATATTTCCATTATCTCCTTCCACTCTCTGATAGGGAACTCCAATTCTTGTAAAAATCTTGTTATAAGCGTCAGACACCTAAATGATTGAAATCTCCTGATATTAAGATTTTCTTGCATTTCTGACATAGAAAATTAAATATGAACATTTAAATCGAATGCAATTACAGTTTTTGTTATTTTTATTCGGACCAATAAAACTTTGGAAAAGAAAGACGACATCAAAGACAAGTACTGAGTATTTGATGTTAGAAAGCACATAGTTTAACCAACAGATTGAAAATTTACTTATTTAGTGAAATGGGTGTAAGTACACGCCATGATTTCTTTGATTCATGTTTATTCAACTATTTTAAATCAATATTAGAGTCTAAAAGTCGTCTTCCTGTTCCACAGTTTTATGGGTCCCACTGTAATATATTTAGTTACAATTACCTCTTGATAAGTTTGAAGTGCTGCCTCGCAACCTTTATCAAATGTATACAAGTCTTTCATAATAAATTCATTGGATCGTATTAGTCCGAATCTTGGTTTCATTTCTGCTCGGAACTTGGAACCAGTTTGATATAACCTCAAATACAGTGTAATATTATTTTTAAATAAAATGTCGAATTCGATCAACAATGCGTCTTTGATCGAAATAGAATGTGTTAATACATTTCTAAAGTAGGTACAGAGCCCACTTGCTTGATTTAACGTAACTGGACACTCGTCGCAAACTCTTATTCTCTTGTCCCTTTACCTTTGTAACTTTCTTGTGCAAACCTATAATATTTCAAACTAAAGCTCTTTGAAATAATGAAATTCATAGTTTGAAATATCAAATAGTTTAAAATCGATAAGATTTAATTTATAAATTACAGAAAGTTAGAGATAAAATAAACTTATCAGCAATTATTATTTGATATCATATGATGTACTTAAAAAGTCACTCTGTCGTAAATTTAAACATGTAATATTATAAAAAAAAATCATAGCATTATAAAATAAAATTGATTCAACAAAATCCTATAAATATTAGAGGTTCACAAAATGCCATTGTTACAGCTGTACATCTATTCCTTTTTCCGCTTATTTGATGCTCCACACAATAATCTAAATAGTCCCTTGCCAAGGAAGATTACTATGGTAATTACTAATAATACAATGCTGATCACATCAAGTAAAAGATACTGGAACCAATACAGATCATGAGTTGGGCTTCTCATCTCAAGATTATGTGGATGGCGCAGAAGATATTCCAGTCCCCATACTGCAGCATCTAACGGGCCTATTGGAAGATCCAATATCAGGTTTTGGAGTTTGGTCACAGATTCCTGGTAGCTAGAATCATCTAGAACCATTGTAATTGATTCAAGCAGGTTTTGTTCCGTCACATCCCCCCAGTTGATGACAATTCCAAGGTTTTTAGTGATAGCTTCAGCCAAGTTAGCAACCTGATCTCCTTGGATTGGAATACCAATTACAGGAGTTTTAAAACAAATAGTTTCCTGAATGCTTCCTGCTCCCCCGTGTGTTATAAAAAGCTTTACATTGGGATGTGCTAGGATATCTTTCTGAGGCAGCCAGGAGGAAATAAGAACATTTTCAGGAGCATCCGGCATTTCTTTATCCCACTTCCAGATTATCCGTTGCTTGAGTTGGCTCAGCACAGAGATAAATAACTTCCGCTTTGCATCTGACATTATTGATGCTTTGATTATGGACCCAAAGGACATGTAAATAACTCCATGTTCTGCCCCTTCAACCCACGTTTTTAGTTCTCCTTGTAGAGGGTTTCCTGGCCCACAACTCATTAACCCTGCCTGAATTGTGTTAGGCAGCATTGGTCTCAGCCCATCCCCCATGAACGGACTTCCTAAATTTATCATTAAACTAGCTGAGAGGGCTAGCTCATCTAGGTTAACTGGACCTTCATTTGGAAAAACTTGACCAATCATCTTTTCTACCTTTGGTAAGATGTAGTATGTTCTACCCAATGTTAATATAGTTGTTGCCATTGTGTTTATAAACCTCTCCTTTAAGTTCATTGACTGCTTGTAAGGAAACACTGCAAGAGGCATGTAGGATGGATTAACAGGGTTTCCAACAGCACTTGCCATATTTGGGAATATGTAGGGTACTGGACTGAAGATAACCAAAGATGCATTCTTCTTGTTTGACACAAAGAAACCAGCTTCATTTCCAAAAACTGGTACTGTTACAACCACATCAACTTTAACCTTTTCATCTAAAAGCAACTTTTGAAAGTCCTCATGGGATAAGGCAGCCCTGTTAGCTTCAATAGTAGCTTCTAACACCTCAAAGAAAGGCAGGCTTAAACTTCCAGATGAATTCTCCTGAATTACAGCCTCAGAAACTGAGTTAAAAAGTTCGTCTGGGAAGTCGTTAATAATTTCGTTAACACCAGGTATTGTTTTTTTCTCTCGATTAGGAGACACCAATGTGACACTGTGTCCGCGTTTAGCCAACTCCTTCACCATTGGCATTAAAGCTAACTTGTTACTTTTAGAGCTAAACGGAAGGTAGAAAAGATAGCTTCCTCCCTTGCATAAATTCAGTAGGAAAATCGACAAAAAACAGAAAGTGATCCAGTTCCTCATAATAATAATTGTATCTGTTTATTATGTAGCTCTTATGCAAACTGACTGAATTGTTATCTTTATTCGTACTATTATATGTAATCTTCTTAGTTAGTATTATTAAAACATTACTAAGTTCCCCTCTTCCTTGAATATACATACTTTGCTAGAAGCTACAGTCGTCGCCGTATGAATCAAAACAATGAAGACGGCTTTTATTTTTAATTATGATTTCAAGCAAGATTTCAAACAGCTTGGATACACATAAAAATGGAAACAAAGAGACGCTATCAATAAAAAGATTATTTTTAAGTTAACTTTAAACTTGTATTTTGAACATTTTTAAACTTGTTAAAAATCAAAACTTAAGTAGAAAAATCGTCTTTGTTGTATGACGATAAAAATGCAGACCACTGTAACTAAACATAAGAATTGTAAACAGACCTTCAATTTACCTTAGAGGAAGATCTCTTATTGAAAGGTTGTATCCTCCTACTAGGCTTGTTATACATTCCTCATGAGTAGGACTAAACAAATGTTTTATTGATTAGAAAAAGGACCGTCAAGGACTGCAAGGATCGTCAAGGACTGCAAGGATCTTCAAAGACTACAATGATCGTCAAGGACTGCAAGGATCATCAAGGAATGAACAAGGATCAACAAGGATAATCGAGGATTCAGCTACAGCAATCTTTGAAGATAAAACAAGCAACAAACAGGAGAAGCCTAGCCTGGATGTCCCCAACGTTTAAACATCTTAAAGGAAAAAGTATATAGAATATAGATAAATATTGTAATCAGACTTTAATAATATTGTTTAGGTTAAGGTTTTTTGATCGCTTCTACAAAAAATGGCTTTAGATAGACATTGGCCTGGATAAGCAAAGTATTAAGGAAAGATGGGATATTTTGACAATATTACCAAATATGATGTTATCATTAAACCTTAGAACTTACCATAAAACCATTTCTTTATCTTGTCTATCTTTAAACTTGACCAGTTCAGTTCCGACGCTTTTTAATCTAAGCAGCAAGGTGTAAATTTCTGTAAATTTTTAAAGAAAATGAAAACTTTTACAATTTGTCCGCACTTTTTGAAAATCTATGTTAAAAATAATTTCTGGGACGAAGAAAAATGAAGTGCCAGTAAAACTTTGAGTACAGTTTCCAATTTACAACCTTCCTCCCGGATTTATTCCAAATGTTGGCTGGGCTGACATGTGGCAGCTGAATTTTCTGGCAGTTTATCTGTTCCAGTTCATCATCTACAATATAGATTAGACACCAGCTGGTCAACTCATTTTTAAAGGGAATGCTAACTTTTTCTGGAAAGGTTTTAGAACCACCAAAAGGGACTGATCACTCACCACAAACCTACTTTTTTGTAAACCTCATTTCTTTGCAATCTATTTAAAAATATAAATTCTGCTAGATCAAATCAAATCAAATAAAATCAGAGTTTTAGGGACGTCTTACACCCACACGTCTAGACTGAGGTGACTATACTAAATCAATAATGAAGTGAGGACTTATAATTCTTAACCTATATTTACTTTTACTTGGAAAAAACAGATAAAACAGTCATTTAGTCAATGTTTAAAATATAAAAGGTTTCCATTAAATTTATCAGAAAAATAGAGTTTGTGACGAGTTATCATCAGTTTCTTAGAATCATTTTTTAAGAAAATAATTGCAAAATAATTAAAAACTGCAAGCAGTGTCTTCTTTCCTATTATTTTATTCAATTTGATAAGTGATCTAAAGTTAAGTCAGTTAGTGAAAATTGACAGCACAATAGAATCTGTAAAAATACATTTATTAACTATCAATCTTCCAAACAAAAGACGTAAATTTATGTAGATTTTTCAAGATGGAAGACAACTAAAAAGTTCTCTAGTTAACTGACTATCCTGAATGCTAGGGGTAGTAAAGCAAAATATCCTGGAGAAGTTGGTTTTACTATTCCGTATTCTGATTCAAAACTTCATGTTTTACATCCTAATTCAATGTTGATTTCAGCGGACATTAGTGCCAAATCGAGATTTCTATTACTTAGTGTTAGAAATGGGCCGAATCTTAACCCTTTTTAATATACATCTTTCAATCCAAGCCCTACAGCATACATTTATTTAAAATGTGTAGTACTTTACAGTAAAACAAGAAATATCAACTTTAAACTTTAAAAATGTTAATGAAATGTTTTATTATTAGAAAAACCAATCTTTCAATTTGTGCCTATTTCTAACACAGAGTTTTGAAATGGACCATGATCCCGTTTTGGAACTAGTGTCCCCTTAACTTTCCCCTCATCTCATGCTTTAAAATTAAACAAGGAATTTTAATTGAAAGCCATACGAAAAATATAAATTCTTGAAGACTTCTAAATATTCAGCAAAGGCTTAGATGATGCAAGTGTGAATCATTGAATTGGCCATTTTAAATATTATTAGAGTCTTTTTCCTACTTATCAAAAGATACGTAGATATTGTTTTAAGTATTGTTTGTGAAGTTTCCCTATAAGAAGCCTGGAACTCCGTGATGTCAGCTCTTCAATCTTCTTCGAGCTCTTCAGTTCGGTGAACGGTATCAGTTCCTGTAAAAAAATAAAACATGTAAAACATACTGATTAAAAAATCATATTTTACGGACATACATCCTCCTTCCAAACTCTAGAAGCAAAGCGACTTCATGAATCAAGTCTGAATATAAAGTGTTGTGTACGACATGTCACTCTGCACGAAGAGAGTATTTTACGGACATACATCCTCCTTCCAAACTCTAGAAGCAAAGCGACTTCATGAATCAAGTCTGAGTTTAAAGTGTTGTGTACGACATGTCACTCTGCAAGAAGAGAGTATTTTGCTCCACAGTCCCTTTAACCTTACTTTATTTGGTTATTTGGTGAATTAATCTCTAGACCCCAGGGGTATCTTGAGAATATCTGCGAGTCTATAGATTAATTGAGTAACTATTTATATCACTATTTTTACTCAAACAATGTCTCCAGCATATCGTTGGTAAATGTTTTTAAACACTTTGGGATTTCTAGCGTTGGTTACCAAAACAATTGAGCAATTTTTACCTTCAATCTTTCTTTTAATTATAAGAAAAATCAACAAAATTTTGTAAGTTTTAAGCTGTGACTGACTTAGTCCTAAAGCTTGATTGAGAAAAACGATATCCTCAGCGAGATTTGTAAATTATAAGACAGAATGAAGACGAAAATTACTAAACGATGGTATGCTTATCACCGTATTGTTCCAAAGATAAAAAAAAATGCCAAATCAAGTGATTGGTACCTTTTCTGAAAAACACAAATTACCTTAATTTATATTTCTTACTCCGGCAAAATTGTTGCTGAATTCAAATTTACGAAAGACCGTTAAAACTACAATGCCACGGATCCGTTTAATTTTGGTGCAAATCCGGATTCTGGATCGATTCGCCATGAAAAAAATTGATCCGGATATAAACATTTTTTTTAGCAGGTTTTAGTTGATTTAAAGAAAAGTGTACATAGCACATGAAAAGTACTGTACACTACTATATTTCGCGCCCAATATCCAAAAAGTTAAGGAGCCTACGGGTCCGGATCCTAAGCACTGCACTGGTTGGAAGAAATATAAATCAAATAAATTTCGGGTTAATGTTAAATGTTGATTTTCAAATATTTGATCTCGATATCCACTGTGGACACTTTTAATTTGAGGATCAATGCCTAAACTCTACATTTAAGATATTCCTCCCCTGATCAAAGCTCCCTTCAACCCTTGACTGGATACTATTACAATGCGGGTTATCTTATAAAAATTAAATTAAATTAATTTCAAGTCTGAGCATAAACTTCATGCCTTGAGCGGGTTAAGCCGCACTGTGAGGAGGTTTTACCTTTGGTTGATACATCTGACTTGTTTTAAACCTACATCTAGCTCTCCAGGGAGCTGTTAACCTCATTTTAATATATCTCTGAAAACAGATAATTTAAAATTTTAATTTGTTATTTATTCTTGGATAATACAGAGAAGTTTAAAAAAATAAAACTTCCTTTCAAAACCATAATTTGTTAATCAGGGGTGTATATTTTCTCAAAAAATTAATTTTCCCTTACTCTTATTAAAATCATTTTTCCCCAGAAGTTAT